ATATATATATATATATATATATATATATATATATATATATATATATATATATATATATATATATATATATATATATATATATATATATATATATATATATATATATATATTGACATGTTTAACAATATGCCTAGATACCAAACATTCAATATCTAAAACTAAATATTCCTTAAGCCTTGCAGAAAATATTACTACTTACTATACCACTAATATACAAGTTTTATTAAATTTTAAATCCAGCAAGGAAAAATAATATTTACTCATGAACATAAATTACATCTTACATAAAAATTCTCCGAATAAATAGTGTTGAGTATTAAATGATTCCATGACAACATTGGATAGATCAGTATGTGTATATTACAGTCTTGAGTGTACGTAGTAGTTCCACCAGCCACTTACACAGGTTAATCAAGACCATCACACACATGCACAGGTAAGATGATCCACCAAGCAGTGTACTCGAGAGATCAGTCTTCAAACAGGGGTCTTAGGTCCTCTTTACACCTTTCAGATAAAATGTACTCCCCCTAGTTCGCCTCACTCCACTCCCTGCACACACAAACGCTGCCCTGACTGAGTAATCTCTCCAACGTACAGAATGAATCCTTCCCTTACAACATCTGGTTATTCTGATAGTCAAGAACATGTGGTCACTTTTATAATATGTACGTGCTTATGTTACGAAATATATATTATATGTTTGTGCCTGACTGTAAGTTTACGTATCCCTGCTGAATGTCTACAAGGACGACTGTGTGTTTGTCTGTCTTGTGTCTTCAACCACCCCAGTGTGTGTATTCCATCAAAATTATGTCTCTTTTACTATTGTACAAACCCGTTTAAGGGACCCACACAGCCCCTGCACCTGGTCCAACTAATCACTCCCCAACTGTGCTCTCTATACTTACAAGAGAACTGTCTGGTCCTGCTCGTACTTACAATTATTCTTTTCATACATTTATCAAAATACTTCCTTCCCTACTAAACCCTTTCATATATACAATTGAAATAACGTAATGTTTTTTTGTAAAAATGGTCACATTAGGTTAAAGAACCATTTACTTCTCTATCAGTTTCAACAAGTCAATACACCCAGTGGCGGATTATCATTATCAGTTTATCATTGCGACAGTTGAAGTAGAAGGCTTAAAACCCATGCTTCAGGGAGCCCGCCATCAGTTTACTAGAACGTAAATTTTGTTTTATACTGTTTTGGCAAATGGACAAATTCACTGCATTAACTCTTTTCAATAAACCTAATCACCTTATGTGTAAATAGCGTAAAGTACTGTATGTAATATATGTATTGAACAGTGCAGTATAATTATCATGGTATCTGGTTATTGAATGCCATGTTTATTTTCACGAGAGCCAGTTGCAGGAGGAGGAGGGTGAGTGGCACAGGCGGCACTTTGTTGTGGTCCACGTGGCTGGGTTGAGCACGATACGACGCACATGACGCCATCACACAGCTTCCCGCGGGTCGCTTTATCAATTATCAGTTTTGGGAGAGAAACAATAAATCCTTTTAGAGCAGATACAAATAAGGTAATATTTATTTTTTCTTTTGTTACAATATTTAAGCGCAAGATTCTTTTACCTGCGAATATTTAAGCGTAAGAATCTTTTACCTGTGAGAATTTGAGTTTTAATAGTTATTTTGGGGTCTATGACGGAAATAATTTCACATAATTGTTATTTATCGTATAGAGAAGATAATGTTAACTCATCTTGTCATCAATTAAAGCTATATTTTAATTACTGTGTAACTAATTATTCGTATTAATAAAAAATTATAAAAAATCCATTGCAAATTTTAACGTAACTGCAAATGAGGCTTATAAAATTAATTTAGGTTTATGTTATCTACTTATTTACTTTACAATATAGATAATCCAGCGGTGTTCGTAGTACCCAGCCAACATTGGTTGTAGTAGGCGGTAAACAGCAATCAGCTAAGTATTCTTGTCTGTAGTCACTATTTCTCCTCAGTTAACTTTATTTCATCAATTATTATTTCAGAAATTCTATAATGATAGGTTACTCTTGCTCATTAATAAAGATTTTGACTTGAAATTAACCATGCCGGGGAGGGTTTAGGGCGTGTCCGAGGCAAAAGTAATGCGGTTTACAACTTTTTCTTTTGTAATTAATTGTGCTCTATGGGCGTAAACTTAATCAAAGGACACTCGGTTAAGTACAATTTAAAAAAACAAAGAGAATTTCATTTAGTTAGCTAGTAGACTCGTTTACTGAGGTCGGCAAACTTAGTAGACAACAAAATAACCTCATCCAGCACCCACCTAAGTATGACGTAATGTGATGAGTGACTCCCTCTTTACATAGACTGCAGGAAGAGAAGTGCCGGGGCATCCTCCGCCTCCTAGACATACTGTACAGCATTACATTTCACATTACTATACAGATTCGTCTCTCAACCCATAAATTTACTCTCTTGATGACTTCTTAGTGTTGTAACTTTCCTTCAGATAATGTGTTCTCTTGTGCCCTACCGCTTACCTCTTATCTAAAGGTTTTCAGTAAATGTTGATGTAGAGGATCCAAAGAGAAATTACGAGGCTGGAAATCAACTGGACACACCCAAGAGCCAAATGTGAATCGGTCCATCATGACAACACAGCTTACTTACACCTCCCATTCTACCTTGTACTTATCTGTCTACCCCACCTCTCCGTCAGTCTGCCTACCCCCCCCCCTTCTCCGTCGTCTCTGAGTTGTCCACGTACCTAGGGCGCTGCTCACGATACAAGGTCCTGAGTATCCAAAAGTCAGGGGCGGCCTCTATTTTATCCTCCACCACGAACACCTGCGAGTGGCCTTCCATGTCAGTATCACTTAAATATTGATCAAACATTTTTATTATTATCACTATTATTATCATCATCATCATCACCTTATTATTATCATTACTGAACTCTCAAGATTGGAAAAAAAAAACTTACGAACCTTTGAGAATTAATTTTTATTTTGGCTTAAGTGAATAAGGAAGGTTGCCACATCATGTTATGAGTAAAATTTGACATACGAATCTCTGGGAAGCTGGAATCTCTTTATTTTACGTACCTGTGCTGACATGGCGTCATAGAAGGCTGCACCAAGCTTGCCCTGGGACCAAGACACACTCATCACCACCTGGAACCGTTAGCATTGAGGTGACGTCGGTGAAGATTGACGAAATGTTGTAAATTAGAGCATAGTGATGAAAGGAGGAAGTCAAATATTACAAGAAGAATGAAAATAAGCCACTTGAGTTAGAGAAAGATGAGGAAGACCTTGGAGCGATAATGGTGAGTAAATTGATGCTTGAAGATATCTTAAATCATAAAACTAAAAAGACGAACAGATCCCGTAATAAGATACAGAAAACTTCAGGTGGTTGTACTGGTTTATAAGTTTCGTTACATTATCAAAGGATTCTGACACATGCCATAAAACAACGCCATTGCGACCATGCAGAAGCGCCAGGCGAATGTTCCGCCCATCTACCAGTATTGACGGTCATTACTCATTAGACACAAACCTGGGAGGCGCCCTCTTCCGAGTGATCCCGGGAGCCGAGGTCATCATCGTGGGTCATGTATTGGTCACTGACAGGAGTGTGACGAGGTGGGAGGGGCGTGGAGGAGCCAGTAGTGTCAAATCCACCGTGGGTGAAGGACGTGCTGCCTACTGGTCGTTTTCTCCTGACGATGCTGGAATAGAAGGAAGGTTTCGTCATTGTTATTGGTTTAAACGCTGAGTGAGAGAGAGCAGAGACTAATGCCACTAGTACAATAATATTAAGACATTATTTTACCAAGAAGAGTCGGAGGAGCCGTGGGTATTGAAGGTCGTCGATGGAAAGACAGTGGTATCCCCCAGGTGGTGAGGCGGGGTGTGCTTGGAAAATTGACCACTATTGCCGGTCACCATAGGACCGCTTATCTTGTGGGCTGAAACATCTCCGCTCTTCCTCTTCGTAGATGGGGTAGAGTCTGAACCTCTGTGTAAGTTGGAGGAGGAGGTGGTATAGGTGAACTGCTGGTGAGCCTTGTAAAGTTGAGGTGTGCAGATGGAACTCTCGCTGGAGGTTGATTTCCAGCGTGACGTCAGGTCGTGGGACGAACTGTGGAGTGGTGGAGACATTTAGGACACGATAAACGTCACTGGAATCTAATGATGAACGAGTACTGTACTGTAATCACATGTAAATTACTGTTCATACAACTTGTACAGTACCTAAATACTGTTTATGATTGCAAATTTGCACATAAATAGTCCCAAACAACTTCCTGATTCTGTTGACGTTAGCAAAAATAATACCGAAGTATTTAATACCATTGGTGGAGTGTTGCCACTACCGTAAACAAACGAGTTATTCTGAACAATATTATTTGCGTCTGACCGCTTTATTATATAAACAAATGATCACTTATGATACTTTTCAATAATACTAATTGGCCTACGTATCATATAGGTAAACTGTAAATTACCGTACATATGTGCCACCTGCCAAACAATTTATGGACACTGTTGTAGACAAACCCTTAGACGATATACCTGTACACAGATCACTGATACTACTGAACCTAACCAAACTTATCATATAAAACAAGATCTAACGTATATGTGTAACTTAATCAACCCTAATTTAACCTAACCTAATCAAACCTAACCTTGCTACATCTAATCTAACTTAAATAATGGAGCATCGTAATTTTTAACACAAAATTATTAACGGCGAGATAATAGTACAACACAAGTACACATCAGAGAGCGTATCAGAGGCTGCAAGTTAGCGTAACGGTGTTTTAGAGACTTGCGTATAAAGAAGACGCTTCAAAGGTGTTCTGTACTATGCCTACTTTGTATACCTGATGAGGCTCCTTAATTAATACCTGTCGCTACGGGTTGCCCACTGCGCCCTGGACATTGCTGAAGCAGGCACACTCCTCAGAACTTGGGCCAGACGCGCCTCACGCCCACCGCCCATATCCATGGTTGAAGATGAGCCCCTGGATGTAGAGGCGCCCACGTTGACGGACTTGGGCAAGGCAAAAGCCGTTTCGGAACTTGAGAATATTTTCCTAGGTCTGTCCGTGCTTCGTAGATTGACGTGGGTGGGCGTGACATGGTTGTGTGGGGTGTGGGCAGGGGTAGCATGGTTGTGCGGGGTGTGGGCAGAGGTAGTGTGGTTGTGTGGGATGTGGGCAGAGGTAGCATGGTTATGCGGGGTGTGGGCAGGGATAGCATGGTTGTGCAGAGTGTGGGCAGGGGTAGTGTGGTTGTGCAGGGTGTGGGCAGAGGTTGCATGGTTGTGTGGGGTGTGGGCAGGGGTAGCATGGTTGTGCGGGGTGTGGGCAGAGGTAGCATGGTTATGCGGGGTGTGGGCAGAGGTAGCATGGTTGTGCGGAGTGTGGGCAGGGGTAGTGTGGTTGTGCAGGGTGTGGGCAGGGGCAGCATGGTTATGCGGGGTGTGGGCAGGGATAGCATGGTTGTGAGGTGTGTGGGCAGGGGTAGTGTGGTTGTGCGGGGTGTGGGCAGGGGCAGCATGATTGTGCGGTGTGTGGGCAGGGGTAGTGTGGTTGTGCAGGGTGTGGACGGGCGTGTTATAGCTTTGAGGGGTGTGGGCAGAGGCATTATGGCTGTGCGGTGTGTGAGTTGGGGTTGCATGGGTAGGAGGGGGAGGGGTGGCGTGGACTGAGGTGCCACGCGTCAATGGAGCCTCCATCATAAGCAGTCACCTGCAATTAAACATAAAACATTCGTTAAAATAACCGGTTATGCTCGTGGGAATCTCTTGCCATACATAACGCGTTGGTTTAAAATGCAATGACACGTTGACAATGCCTGTGGCTTCTCCCAGATACTCTCCCTTTTATACGGGAAAGAATGCTGAACTTGCAATATTCATTTGCTATAATACTGCTACTACTACTACTAATAATAATAATATAATAATAATTATTAGTATTCAGTATAGTTGTCATAATAAAGGCTTACAATTGGATAAGCATGTTTATAAACTATACAGCTCAGCATGATAACAATCCATTTGCACAATATATCTATATACTGGAACACTATGATCATTTTCCCTCGCTAGTATCGTTGACGTGGGGCCTACGGTCTGCAGACATACTGCGGGTTCTCTGGTCACACTAGACTAGGCAAAGCTAAGATACTGACTTATCCTTTCTTGACAATCTCTCTTCCCTTTCTCTTCGCCGCAATGTTGCTTCACTCTCTCTCTTTCACAGGTACTTTAACGGGCAATGTTCGGTGGATTTTGCATCCTGTGTACCGCCGGCAAGGCCGTGGGCTCGTAACACACGTCTTGCCCGCGGTGCCCACCGTTTCTCTGTGGATGTCGGTCACACTAGAATAACCCGTTATAGTACATCCTTCTTTCCTCACACAGCCAAACTGTGGAATGCTCTGCCTTCTTCTGTGTTTCCATGCTTATACAATGTCTCAGTTTAAAAAGGCTGGTTTTCCGACATTATCGTGGTGTAGATTAACACAGTACGTATAACCTTTTTCTTCTCTTTTTTCTTTCTTTCTGTTCTAATTCCCCCACCCCAGGCGCCGTTGTGGGTCGTTCAACCTGTGCCCGGGTGGGCTAATTTATATATATATATATATATATATATATATATATATATATATATATATATATATATATATATATATAGCTAATATCCTTCAGCAGTATTGCCTCGATTGTCCCATTGTCAGGAATCTTATACCTCAAGTTGTACTAAAAGAGCCATGATAACTTTAGGTCTCCTCAATGTTCGATCGTATGGTTTGTTTTTGTTTTGTTTTTTCACACCGTTTCGGGCAGTTGGTCTATCCAGTGTTAGACGAAAAGGAAACCTGTGATGTTTGGTAGGGTCGTACTGGATAACACTCAATATTTAAACTATAGTAGTTAAAATACAACCTAAAATTTATTTAATGCAGTATAAAATAAACTATAATTCATTGGATATTTTGTCAAACATATATAATGTCATGTAAATAGTAAAATGCAAATAATAAAAAACTTAGTTTGACTTCTGGCTTGGCAGTCAACCCCTAAGTGATGATACCTAACGGAATGATTCTCATTTTAGGATCCCACGACAGTCATTATCGAATATGACATTTGATGAGTCACTGTATTATTTGTTATGGTCAAATAACGTTAATCTTGACCTACCATAAATCTCTTCATAATACAGTGAATAATTGCATTTCACGTTCATATTCTAAATTCTTAATGAGTTTAACATACCCAATTAATATATTTTATCTTCAATTCGATTTACATTGCTCATAAAATTGATTCGTCACTTTCATGTGCATTACGTCTTGTCTGAATTGTAGTTATCTGTCATTCATAACGGGTACATCATCTGTTGGTTTACCTCCAATACTAGGTCAAAAACTTTATCAGGATCATTTGTGAGGGAATTTGTGTAACCACTGATTTCATGAAACCCCTAAAACTTTTAGAAAGTTATATGTAATTATTGTTAGGCAATTACATATAACTTACTATTTTATTAGGGATTTCATAAATTACTGGTTACACAAATTCCCTGTATAAATGTCCACTCGGAACATCGCCCATTGTCGCTTCTGTTGTTAAATGTATTGGCTTTTCATTAACTTAACCGTAACATCGATATCTCACCTCTTATAATTACTTGTCTTTAACCTAAACCAAAGTATATATCTTTAAATATATACTACGTACAGTCTGGTTCAAGATTCTTCGAACACTGCTGGAGACAGGTGGCAACTCAAGGCCGTTTGTTTACTATAGTACGTAGTAAAAATTATGAATAAATGTAAAAGTGATCGGTGATTGGTTACTTAGTTCCCCGTTGCTTAATTTACTGGTTGGTCTGTGTTGTTTCATATTATATTATACTACGGACTATAGTAAACAAACGGCCTTGGGTTGCCAGCTGTCTCCAGCAGTGTTTGAAGAATCTTGAACGAGACTGTACATAATGTTGTCAAAGACTCATGTCACTGGGGATGGAAATTTACTTTTAAACAGCAAGGACTTTAACGTCAAATCGTCTAAAATTATATTTTATTATATTTGCTGAAATAATTTAGTCGAAATCTGCTTCACGAAACATGAAGTCGCTTAAAACACTCAAGCGTATGAAGGTTAGAGGTAAATTTTCTTATAATATCACTTCAGAAAAATCAAACAATGACAATAACAAAAATAACACTGTAGATGTGTGGGAGCGAATATTAACAAAATGCGCTGTAAAAGTTTTAGACGATTCGTCGATATTAACAGCCCCAAGAAATATATACAATAATAGAAAGTGGTGTTTGTCTCTCTTAATACCATACCTGATACAAAGGATGAAGTATAACGAAGTATAACGAAGGTCAAGTGACAGGAAGCATCAACACAGTGTAAGTTGCCATATGTCGCCTTACTATTTTCCCGCCAGGCTTATTTGTTGATACTTTTTGTTGGTTCTCTTATAACGCAATTATGTTAGATATATATTATATTTTTAGATTTCTGTAGACTACATCAATTATTGGATAATGTATTTTATATTAAATTAATTGTCCGGGGAGATATTGCCGGAGAAAAATATCAAAATAAAAAGAGCCTCAGAAACATCAGGACGCTCGTGGTTTCGAACGACAGACGCAGTACCAGAGGTCCTCCCACAATTTTTTCGATAAAATCCCCTTCAAAATCTTCAAAATGCCCCTTCTACAGGGCCAACCGTTCAGGCTTATCAAGCCACCCGATAATATAGAGTCTTTCACTGAACTCTACGTCATTCAACACACTGGAGAGAAGTTTGTGAGTAAAAGGTAAATGCCCGCGAAAGCGCCGGTCTCTGTTTACGCTAATATCCCAGGCTACCGTATTAGTAGACCTCCTTTCATTTCTCCCTTATTACTGCCTGTGTCTTATGTAACTCTCATTCCCACCACTCCTCGTCATTTGTGTGTATTGTCATGTCCATGTTGGTGTGAATGGGTACACGATTTAGTGAATTTGACATCTCTGATTAAGGAATAAATTATCTAGGAAGAAACAAGATGGAGATTATTGTCATTTCCCGCCCATACGAGGGAGAGGAACTGTTCACTCGCCTCACCTTCCCCCGTTACACAAAATCTCTCACAATGTCATGACTTTAGTGAAGTAACTTTTAATTCTCCACCCCATGTCAATCAAACTCATGAAATTCTTGGCTTCATTTCTTGGCAATTACCAAGTGTTCAATCAAGTTATGTAATCAAGGTTAAATTGGTACGGTTATCAAGGCCTTGCTCTTATGTTTCCTCACAGTCACATGTAAATCACTTTTCAGCTCACAATTGGCACATGCTTGCATATACATCTGACTGGATCCCAAAACATTAAAATTAATTAAATTATTATTCAGTAGTCAAAGAAATTTCCAGTCTTGAATTTCATTTAATGGTGATTATTGATACTGTTGATTATTCCTAACTCCTTATTATAACTGAAATGATAACTTGAGAAATATACATTATGTCATGGTTAAAAAAAAATGTTTTGAAGTTGGCTGTCCAGTTTATTAACATTTAGGGGAAGCTGTGTAAGGTTAATAGTAAATTTACAAAGAATTTTCTATCTAAGAAGTTATTCAGGTTTTTTCAAACATTGAGTTAGGAACTGGCAACAAAAATGGGGTGAAATTTAATAATCTGTATAATTTCACTTCCTGCCACCCAAAGAATTTTGTGATTGCAATCTATAATTTAGACATTTCGAGGACACTTTTCTTCTATGACATTTTTTTCGCAAACAACCTTACCTAACCTCCTAATGGGCTGGACCCCCTGGCACATATATAAGTCGTTTGCGAGGGAAATGTCATAGAAGAAAATGATCTTAGAATTGTCTCAACTATTGATTGCAACCATGAAATGCTAAAAAAAATTAAGTGGCAACAAATGAAATAACTAATTATTAGTTGTTTTTCCCCATTGCCACAGCTTATATAGATTTTGTAATTATTTATATATTATTTCACCACATGACTTATTAGCCATTCAGGCAGTTGGCCCATTCTTTGTAACTCTCATGAATTTTATTGTCCAGTGTTAATACAGGAGGAAACCTATGATGTTTGGTAAGGTGACAGTGGATAACACCCTTCTCTCATGTGTCCGGGCCAAGCAGAACTCGAACCCATGGCATAGTGGTGAAAGATATGCTTATTTCTGCTGTACTAGTGATTGATTCCAGCTAAAAGCAAGAACAATTTAGTGATAATTATTTTGAAATTACTGAAACAGCAGAGGCACATATGCAGTGGTCTTGGATGGAAAACATTTGGTTATTCACCATCTTTCTATTATGTTGCATGAATGAGCCTTTACTCAAAAATAAAATTCAAAGCAACTTTTGGTAACACAGAAACAGGAGTAAGAGTTAGTCTGCAACTTTAGAAGATTTGATAAATTTTAGACAACCGACTCATGAAAAGGATCAATTTTAGGAAAATAGTAATTGTGTAGAACACGGTCCTGTTAGAAGGAGCAACTTTAGGAAAAATAATATAGAAGAAAGCTTTTTTCTTCCCTCTTGATATCAGAAAGATGTTGGAGGAATTGTTACTTTTCTATACAGTATTTGTTTTCTCTTAGTTTTTGTTTACCTTATGCATAAGGCAGTGGACATTTTGCCGTGACCGGTAAGTTCCTACTAAAGCTATTTTACCGTGAGTGCGCTCTGATTGGCTAATTGCCCAATACCGGCGAACAACACGAGAACTATATTTGACCGTGACTGGCGGCATTTGGCATTTGTTTTGCCGTGAGTCAATTGTTGTGTAGCCGTAAACACACTTGACTATATTGTGCATGGAAACTTATCTTTATAAAGGAGGCGATATTTAGAGCCTAATAGAACCTGACCTAACCAACCAAGGAAACCTGCCTAACCTTACCTAACTTCCTACCCCCCATCATATTTAACAGAAAGTACTTAGCCAATCAAAGCACACTCACGTTGAAATAGCATTAATAGGAACTTAGCCAGTCGCGGCAGAATATTCACTACGTATACCTAATGGCCACCCACTGGAGGTGGTCATGCGAAGGGAAAGAGTCCAGTAGTCTGTGTAGGATCCCTACATTGTTCTTGATAATTTTGTAAGGGCTGTTTTGAAGCCCAGTACTGATGGTAATTAAATTGCTGGGGCTGGTAGACCATTCCATAGGTCTACCACCCTCAATGTGAAGTATTTTTATATGTTCGTTCTGCATGATAACTTGGTGAGCTTGTAGTTATGTGTCCTTGTGGTGTGTGACACCACTAAGAAATGGCCCGGGCTCACATTTTCCATCCATTTTAGGATTTCAAATGTTTTAATGAGATTACCTTATTGTGCCTTGTCTGAAGGGATGTTAGTCTTAAGTCTTTTTCAAGGGATGTTAGATCCTTCTGGAAGTAGGGTTCCCCTGCCTGTATACAGTCATCCAGACTTGGACAGTTGAAGGAACATTTTCCTATCTTTGCATATGAAGGTACACATTATAGTTCCTAAATCTTGGTTTGCTTTCTTCACTGATGGCGTCAGTGAATGATCTATCGATACCTAGATCTTTCTCCTTATCGGCAGTATCCAGGAAAGTGTTATTAACAGTGTAGTTGTTGTGATTAGGGTTGTTGCATATTACGGTACGTGTAGGGTCTTGCATTACATAATGTTAAAGAACATTTCCAGTCTCGAAACCATTTGATGAGCTCATTCAGGTCTTTCTGCATTGTTGCAACATCGTCTTGACTTGATACTTTTCCAAATAACTTAGTGTCATCTGCTAACTTGGCAATGTGGCGCTCGATATGTTTTGATCTATGTCGTTTATGTAGATTACAAACAGGGTGGGCCCAGGGATAAAGATATATAGTACTGTACTGAGACACTATGTTTACAGTTAAACTGTTGACACATTTACCAGTGAGCGATCCCAATGCTAAGGAACTGAATGAATCCCAGCAAACTTTCCATCTGAATTATTAACCAAATAACACCCTAACTAACCTACCTAATCAAAAGTAGTGCACTTCCATCCTAAGTTAGGTATATAGTATGTTAAGTTTGGTTGCTTTATTTATCTTATGTGTAGTAAATCCTCAGTTGCTGGTTGCTAGCAATTATTCGTTGATATTATGAGACACTGTTCAGCTATGAAACAACATCCAGGACAAAATTACCAAACTAATAATTGAAAATATGAAAATTACCATAAAACTAGTTATTTGTTGGTTAATTGAAGAAACAATATATACTGTAATCATCTGTACAAAAGTTTTCAACAGCTGCTACCAGTATTTCGTATATAGAAAGGAAGCATTTATATCTATGACACTTTTGTCTTTTTGCACTCGCCTAAACAGATTACTATAACGGTGACCACACAGAGGTTACGCATCGATGTAGATCCGTGTTCAGGACGGGAAGTTTTGAAAAACGAAATAGAAAAGTTGGTAAACTATTACAGTACCAAGTAAATTTTCTACAGAAGATAACTTCTTTTCCTCTAGTCTAGGATAACCAAAAAGTGGAGGAATTACAATTTTCATTTTTTCTGTGATTTCGTCCTGGACAAATCTACTTCGACGTGTTAACATCCTCCCACACTACCATGACTTGTTTATGTGACCACCAAGAGAGAAACATTTCAAGACATAAACCCTTCACTTCCATACCCACGAAAGATCGACAACAACTTTTGTCGTCTGCTTTGTTTACAACCGATCCACTTCGTCCGAGGGTATTCTCATGACCGAAAAAAAAAATACATCATGATGTTTCAACAAAGTTGCATACATTGGTACCAGATGTCAAAGTAAGTACTGTACTGTACTTTCTGTTTAATGCGGTGGGATAGCTAGAAATTTAGGTAAGGTTAGGTCGCTTTCTTTGGTTGGTTCGGCCAGGTTTGTGCATTGTCGTATCGATTTTATTACTTACTACAGGTTGGACCCTGCTAAACGGCAGCTTCGATGCTTCGGTATGGTATCAGTAGGCCTATAAGATACAGTTTTTCTCTTTGCTTTTTCTGCTTATCTACTTATTTCTGTGTCTCAGTACAGTAAGTCTTCGCTTAATGTTGTGGTTCCGTTCCTGAAAACAGCAACGTTAACGGAATCAATTTTCCCCATAAGAAATAGATAAAATACGGGAGTTACGTTCCTGAGCCTCCCTTTGCCCTATGAAATACATTACATATACAAAAATTTAATGGCATTTTTATAGAAAATAGGATATGTATACAGTCTCTCCTCGACTTACGGCGGGGTTCTGTCCCGACGACCAGGTCCTAGGTCGAAAAGGCGAAAATAATACATAGAAATTCTAAAATTAAATACAGTACAGTAAAAGTAATCAATAATGAAAAATGAATGAAGTGTTACTGTGCACTTACCTTTAATATAGTCAGCTGAATGCACACGGTGCCTCAATAATTTTTTAATTAAACGTGGAGACAACAATAATTGGATGAAGCAGAGGAGGAGACGGCCGTCGTATGTCCGGGTTGTCTAAATGCGACTAAATGGCGAGTTACAAGATGAATAGAAATTATGCACACTTTTGTTTCCATAGGGATATGAAGGTTTTGCCGCTCCCTTTTGGTCTTGCGTGAGGTACTGTACTGTCAGGTTCAGGACACTTTTTCTAACTGTTTTTAACTATAAACCACACATTGATTTTTGTGGTGATAGGGTACATATTACAATAATGGGCTTAACTGCCATAAATGTGCTGGTAAAACATGTGTTTCATTTATTTAGTTAGCTTATTGTAATGCTACATAATAGTAATGTGGCATTGTGTTGTATTAGCAAAATTGTCCATTGTACAGTACAGGTTTGGGGAATCTCAAATTTTGTATCTGGGAAAAGGGTTAAAATATTTCGTTTTCTCCTAATGCATTTTTTTAACATGAATAATGATCATGAGTATCTGTTGGGGGTCTGTTATCAACATTAAAATTACAGTACATGGGTCAAAGAAAAAAATTGGGTAAAGTTCCCTTTTCAGACTCAAACATCTAGTCTTCACTGTCACTTTACCCAAATTCTTTGTTGAGGGTTGTAGAACATAATGCTAGGGGGCGTAACACGATTTTTTTCTTTGGCTGTATGTACAATGAAAGACAAAAGTTGTGTCGTGAAATTTTGTGAAAACATTTGAGGAAGGGCTAAACTTTTGGTGCGCTCTGCCTTGTAGTAGGGGTCTCTCATAATGTTTCACGAGTTATGTTTAATCTTCTGACAAAACCGCCACACGACTTTTGTCTTTGGTTGTACATACTCAGCCCAGTCCTGTAAACATACTTTGTGTTGTGGACTTCTGTAGTTACAGTAACATTCTTAGTCCAGTACTGTACTCATAAAGTGTCAGACAATGACAGGTGAATACAAGCTGTTTTCAGTGGAGACATTATACTTGTCCTTTGTTAATAATTACCTGTCTTTTAATGTGTCTCACTTCAACAGTGACTATGAGGATCGATTGGCCCTTTATAGTCAGATCATCTGGACATGTCAGTGCACTGGCAAGTCCAGCCTCACACATCAGGAGGCTTGGACGAGTGAAGCCAAGGTTCGTGTACTACTTAGCTCCTCGTTCCCCACACCCCTTCTGCCTCCCATTCTCCGAACTCTCCACCATAGTAAGTGAATTGTGTGTTAAGTGTTTATGATCTTTTATTGGCTTTTGCCTCAAAGTAGTTTAAAAGATGACTGTTGGTTTTCTCTCCTTTTTTTGTCATTTTTAAAGCCAATATTTTTTTTTAGGAATGTACTGTATAGATACTGTTAACTTAGGTGTTTTCAGAAAATTTTTATACCTGTAGTAACTAAATTCTCTGAAAGATACATTGCTCATCAGTGATTTTAGTTGACAATATTGTAACTAATTGAGTTTGTTTAGGGGATACACTTACTAGTAATGGATAATGCTAGGTTGTGTGAAGGAGCAGGACTAAATCAGAGATAATTTTAGGTCTTGTAGAACATTATGCAGTACAATACAGTATAAGGATGATGTTTTGTGAGCAAATGAAGGAAAACTATTGGAATATGTATATATTTTCTTTTGACTACAGCCAAAAATGACTTGAAAGCTGTACATATATACATAATGTACAGTAAAATCTTCATTAAACCAGACATCATTGACTGGAAATTTAGATACATTTTACTTATCTGGCTAGAAAATATGCATTGGTCTGATTTATTACAAAATTGGTCCAGTCCATGGAAGCCATTTCATACCAATGCCATTTGGGCTAATTGGGCCTTACCAGTGGTGTACCATGGTTGCACTGTTGAGGCATGTAGAACATCACACATACATCAGTTATCAAATTAAATATCATGTGGGATATGGCCTTTCTTTAAATAAGGGTTGTCAAGCTTTTATAAACACCTAATTTCTTAAATTATATTAGTGGCATCTGACAAAGTATCTATTATAAATCTTTAAATAATGTGTGCAAAAATACTTAAGGCAAAAGAATATTAAGCTTTCAGTGTGATCTACAGTAATTTAGAAATAAAATAGTTAAAAAAATGACTAGGCATCATGCACAACGCTGGCCCTCTGTAAAGTTGCCAATGATCTTATTGCTGAACATTTAAATAATTAGTAAATATTTTTATTTGTATGATCTAATTATTATTTCAAGTAAAATGGAAAACTGAATAACATTCCCAAGTGAAAAGCTACTGTATAACTGAAAGTGGACTGTAGGGTTATTTAGAAATATTAAAAATAATAATGTGGACCAGTTTTGTTGGGCTGATGGAGAGCCGCCGCCTGTCTACATTTACAGAAAACTTATTAAATAGCCACTCTTATGGAACAACAACTCTTAGGTAAAATAAAATCACCATATAACATAAGACTTTGTGCTTATTAAGGGAATGGGTATTAAATTTGACTAAAATGACTCAAATTCCAACACAATAAAATTCATTTTAGCATGTTATTGATAGGATGATTACGTCTATATGTCCATTGAGGGTATGCGGCTTATCCCTCTGCATGCATTGAGGGACATTGAGGCTCCTTGACTTTCCTGAGTGAAAACTGTGAAGACTAAAATTAAGTCTATTATTGAAGATACTATTTTGCTTTCTACTAGCATGCCTTGCATTCCTTAAGAATATACCACTGGGCCTTACTATTAATCATGTGTGTTTGGGGTCTCACTGTGCTGAATAAAATTGTCTGGCATTAATCACCATATATGTCATCCATTGATGACAATGATATAAGTTATTAGTGATGTTACCTTTATTGGTGAGCTCTGAGGTGGCCAATATGGGACCGGCAGGGTCATCCTCAGATGTTACATGTGTGGAGGCCTACGTCTAGTGCGTCAGTGTCTCCGGTGCTGGCATTTGTCCCCCTCAGTATGCAGATGGGATAATGTAAATGTGTTAACACCTCATTTGGTGTTCCTCCAAATATTATGGTGTGGAATGATCATCTCTCATGTGCGGGAGTTGATTTGACACTTTTCAGGTTTGTCTTAACCCCCTGGTCAGAAATCTCACCCCCCTCGCACTCCTCGTAGTCCTTCGACTCGGGTTGTGTCGGCACCACGAATGGTTTTCCATTCTAATAAACATTGGGTAGAGCAATCCAGACTCAAATTACAACCTTGAGATGCATCTGCCAGCCCACGAGGCTAGTGGGAGGAACTCTGGTGTTTGATAGGGGCAGTCCACTGTTCCCGTATTTCTGCTTACAGAAGGGGTGCTTGGGAGGGGTCGCGCCAGCACGGATGTGCTTAGTGATGCAGTCTTCTGTGTGGGTAACATGGCCAGTCCACCGTACAGTAGTTGTTCAGTAATGCCAGCCTTGATGGTCCTACAATTGGTGTAATCAATAATAATGGCATTTGTCTGCATGTCTTCCCAGTGGAATCAGAGGACGGTATGCAGACTACACTGGTTAAAATTCTGAAGCTCCTAGAGATGTTACCTGTAAATAACTCATGTCTTGCTGCCATACAGCAAGGTGGGAAGGACCACTGATCAATATATGCACAGCTTTGTAGATAATTTCAGCTCCCTATAGCTGAAGACATGGATTTAGCAGACTGCATTGGGTCCCTTCATCAGTGTGTGTGGTAGTGGACAGGTGGAGCCAAGGTCCTGCAATGGTTAATGTTGGATATGGCAGTTCCATTAACTTGGATGGACTGTAGAGAGTGGCTGGACCAGGGGCTGGGTGGATTGGAGTGTGTCTTGCTTTTGTTTGCCTCTAGGCTGAAGTATGTATACCCATATGCCAAGGTGTTCAGGATCTCAGTGTAGGTCCCATTCAGTGTGTGCAGCGAGTTTGGAGTTTGTGGTCATCTGCATACTGTACTGAAGTTCAGTGATGGAAGTGACCAACACCTTTGTCTTTTTTTTTTTTTGGAGTTGTGTTGAAAAGTCCCATTTTTCAGTATATGGTATGTCCACCCTACCGGCTAGGTTGGCACTCTCGTGGGCAAGGAAACCATCAAAGGAAAAGATGGTGCCAGTATACATCATTGTTTTACCCCTTTTGGATGTGGAGGAATTCTGACTGGGTGCTCTTAAGTAGGACACTGCTGCCATAATTGTTTTTATTTCACAATGGTGAAGAATTTGGTGGGCAACCAAAACAACTGAGAGTCTTCCAGAGGGCTTCCCTTTTGACCAGGTCAAATGCTTTAGTAAGCTGTTCTCTGTCCTTCTCCTGTATTTGGCAAGCAGCACAGATTATGTCGGTGGTGCTGCGAGATGCTCTAGAGCCACATTGAGACTTGGGTAGGTAGTTTTCTGCCTCAGCAAGGAGTCTCTTAAGGAGGGCTCAGGCAAGAATCTTGCCAGCTGTAGAAGGCAGCGAGATCCTACAGGAGTTACTACATTCTGACCTGTCTTTCTTGTTCTTGTAGATACAGTATTGATGTTGTAGTTGGAGTCACAGCGAGTGTTTTAAAGAGTACAAAACAGATGCAATCGGTATGTTTGAACGTTCTTCACCTGTGTACATTGTGTCTTATTATTTTGCAATTACACGAAGCTATGACAAAAATGGATAAAGTTTCAGTTAAATAAGAATGTTTCCTTGGGGAAGAAAAAATATAGGGAAACTGTTTATATTATATAAGGTAATTTAAGAAATAAGGCAGAGTGAGATTCAATAGCACTGACGAGAGAGCAGCAGCTGCTAGTGAGTGATTTTCTATCGATTTCTTGATCACTTAAACAGAAAGTCTCGTTTTAATGCGACAGAAAGGTGTTTGAAATTAAAATTAAAGAATCATAAGTCGGTAGATTATATAGAGGGGGAGGCTTGTTTTTACTGTGGTACATTTTTTGTGTGTATTCAGTATTCATCAAGCACACAAATTCAATGCTGGAGAACTGAAGTAGATATTGCTTTCCCTTTGAGGAGTAAACAGGTTAACTTACATAAGTTTTGTTTTTGTTTGCTAATAGTATGTTGGTGTACAGCATTTGTTTTCCTTGTTTAACAGAACATAGATGGAACAGAATGTAAACACCTGAAAAATGTATAAACTGGATTCCAAAACTGGAGAGGGTCCCCTTACACCCCCAAGAGAACCTATGCCTTTTTTACTTATGCAAGGCTACTAATCTTTCACCTACCCCCATACACAAGGAACCAGCTAGGGTTATGTTCTCTACTGTATTGGAAGAGAGGATAATGATACAAATTTGTTACAATTTAGTACAGTAGTTTCATTTTATGCACATTAACTTGAGGGTGAGGTAAAAGTACAAACTAAGTGTTGATAAATGGACTCTTATCCCTTATTTCTTACTTTTGTTTACAGGTACACTGCCACTAGATCAGTTGGTAGAAGCTGCTTCAGGACTCTGTTATTCTCGGTTCCATCCGGGTGAAGAGTTAACACTCTTGGGGCCACAGCCGTATGTTACTTTTTCATATTTTAGTTGATGTTGCTTGGTAACTGCATGATTTTTTAAATAGATTTTTTGTGGGTACTGATACTTTTCTTGTACTGTTGTATTTTGTTTTTCATGAGGAGTTCATAAGGTTGCTATGCTGGGTTCTATGACTTTAATCCTTAAACTTTTGCCATATGTTTATTGTCATATAAAAAAAGAGACTTCAGCCAATGTCAATAGACACTCATTTCCTGCAGTGACATTTAATTGCATATTGTGTTCCCGTGCAAGTACAAAATCTGTCAAGGTAAAATAAGTAAAGTTATTAAGTAAACATAACCCACTGACTACTTAGCGGTTGTCACTGCCACCTGCCAACACCCAAATATCAGCTCTGCTTACTGCTAACATTAAAATTTCACATTGTAACGGCATGGTCACTGGCCATTATTGTGTGATATATTTTATAATGGAAATTTTGTTGGAGTAAAGCACCCACCAGACGAGTTGTAAGGTAAGTATTAGTTATTCTGTATTCTTGTGTGCAGTTTGTGTCCATTTGTCCAATTATAATTTGTTTTATCAGGGATGGCTCATTAGACTATACAGGTACTAAAATATGCTCCAGTATTTACACTTAAAAAATGGAACATCCTAAGTCATAATAATTCCTATTAATTTTTAAAGTGCTTTGTTGTAGGGAGCTGGAGGCAGGTGATTGTGATAACTTTTATTTCTGAAGAGAAAGAATATATTAGGTGACTGGTAATTGGAGCAGATATATTTCCAAGCTCTAATACTTAGATTATATATACAGTGGAAAGGTATTTCAATGTATACATTTGTTTCATACAGGATGCAAGTCCGAGTTATCAGGTCTAAGGAAGACAGCGGCTGTGCAGGCAAGAAAGTTAATATTTCTAATGGAAAGGAGCCTTCCACTTCACCAACCACCCCCATCATCAATGGTTGCTCTCCCCCAACTCGAGAGATCCCCATGGTAAATGGCACAAGTAATGGAGTAGCTGGCATTAATGATTCAAGTCCCACAAATATGAGAAGGTGCAAGGAAGACTCTCCAGGAAGGAAGAAGAGTATGTTGCTTCCTTTACTATATGATGTGTCAGTCATTGGAGAAGAAAAAATCATGACAGAAGTCCCAGCTAAATTTCTCCAGTAAGTTTTTGTTATCACAACTATAGACATGTGCATGAGAGTCCAGTTATATGGTGTGTATATATGAGTCGGTACATTCACACTGTACATGACACATTTACCATAACAAACATATACTTTTGTGTAAAATTGCTCCTACTTGGGTGTGTAAAATCTGGTTGTAAAATTTTTCTTCTCTCCACAGGCGAACCTACAAGATTCCTCCAAAAGAACACTTTCGACTTTTTGTGCGAGCCAATGCACTTAGACAGCGATCTAGCGCCTACACTCCTTGGATTGTGTCAGAAGATCTTGTTAAACAGTATAACATTCCCAATAAGCTCGCCTCAATATTTACTAATCCCAGAACAAATTCAGTAGGTAGGAAAAGAAAGGCTGAAGGAGTATTTGTAGAAAGAGCTAAAAAAGTAAAAGCTGAAAAAACAGTTGAAACTGTTAAAAGAAATAAAGCTGATCCTGCCTCTAAACCCTTAAAGCCCGGTAGGAAGCCAAGAGTAAAACGTGACCCGAACACCCCAAGAAAAAAGCCAGGTCCCAAGCCAGGCTTCAAGAGAACTCCTAAGCTAAACCCTAAATCAGAACTACCAAAGCCTTCCCTAAAGTTACAAACACAAGTGAAAATGGAGACCAGTGACAGTGACGATGATGTGTCTCTTGCAGTTTTAGCTAATAGATCACCAAAAATAGAAAATGGAGCTCATCTTGCTGCAAAACCATTGAAAATGGTCACTCCACCAGGCATTACTCCATTGGTGCTCAAGAAGAGGGTGACAGAAAAAGATGGAAAGGAGCTTCTTAGAAGTACAAAAAGATTGAAGCAAACAACTCTCTTTGACATGAGGTCTCCAAAGAAAATGACTGATGGAACACCCAAACCCAAAATTTCCCCAAGAAAATCCCCCCAGAAAAGGGTAAGCTACTCTTATATCAGATTCTTTTAATAGTTGGTATTTGAATAGGACTAACCATATAGTATGTATGAATAATTCTTTGAAAATATGATGCTTTAATAATTAGTTCAATATTACTGTAATAGGAAACATATATTTAAGTTATGTGGTTTGGATCTTTTTATGTGGGTTTGGTATACAAACTTGATACTCTGTGAATCTTTCCTTCTGTATTATAATACCTTTGTTCTTTTCCTGATAGATGGATTCCAATACTAATCATTTAATGTTGATACAGTAGAACATCGATATAACATGAGATATGTTCCAAGAGGGGTCGCTTTAAACCGAATTCACACTAAATCGAAGTGTTGTTTCAATGGAATAATTTAGTTTGGTACTTGAGAGAAATGCAAAATACCAAAAAGACTGAGTCTACCCAGATGAACCTCAGCCCATCTCCTAGAATAGACAAAACATTGTGTTTTGTAGTATCTGTATTATGTTAAAACACTCATAAATCAACACAGCTAAAATTATGGGACATGAAATGGTCTGTTTACTGCCGATCAGCTGATGGGGGGGTGGAGGTGTGGTGATATGTTTGAAAGTTAATGCCAAGGTCTAGTGCTTATTTATTTATCTGTCCTTAAGAGTGACTTTAAGATTTTCTCTTATAAAATGTCACTAAACTGACCTGGGAGAATATAATTAACATTCCTGGAATTCTTATAAGATAGTGATTAATTTGAATATAATCATACTATAGTTTGCACTAGACCAAAATTTTAGTAATCATTTAGTACATTATTTTGATTACATGTACAGTACAGCTTTGCCCTTAGGACAGTGTAGCGTGCCCAGAGAAACGTTAGGCGCGAATTTTAAAATATGATGCGCCAGATTGACTCGCTCTAAATAGGAAAGATTCTCTTTAAATTAAAACATTGCCCTTAATTGTGGGTGTCGCTTTAAATCAATAATCTTAAATTGAATCGCTGTAAATCAACGTTCTACTGTATTGAAAGAGTTTATTTAGCCATAAAAATACAGTTACAGAGTGGACAATAACAACAATATTGACATGGCAGAGCTAAGTGAAAGTCTGATATATACTGTAGTTTTTCTTCAGTGTACTCAGTCTTTTGTGCAGAACTATATTAACGTTGATAACTTTCTGGGAAGAATTTAATAATAGCCTTTTCGGTACAGCAAAATCCTGTTGTAAAGAGTGTTCAAACTAACAAAAATTCCTTTACTTTGGGAAGCTTAAGACTGTTTTGGAATGTTCTGTTGATATGTCTCCTGTGTATTACTATAATTTTGTATTCATTAACTATATCTTTGTTTGAGAAGTAAATACAATATTTCTATATCTGTTTTAAATTTTTTCTATTATATAAATTAAAATTGCTATTATCTGTGTCTCTGAAAAGTTCCCTGGTCCTGAATACAGTAATGGGATTTTGCTGTACAGTATAACAATAATAATCTTCATGGCTTTTCAACAAGTTAGTATTTGTCAAGTTTGTCTCATATAAGGTGTCACCCTTTAGCATTATGGCCAGAATGAATTAGGTCTTCCACGTTACTGAATGCCTTTTATGTGTAGTATGGCACAGTTTATCAAGTACCATTTTTTTGTAGTGAGATCTTCATTGTTATTCACCTTTCTGCTCTCATTTCCTGATATTTATATTCCTTGTTTAACATTTACTACAGCATTTAGGTCTCCTGTAGCTTTTCTCTAAGTTAGATAATTGTTTTAAACCTCTGTCTTTATTATAGAAATCTTGTTGAATATGACTACAAGAATCTGAATTACCTCCCATTTATAGTCCCACTCCCCCCCCCAAATTATCATTACAGTGCACTCCTTTTCCATCACTTCTAGCACACAAACTTTTACCCTACTTGCATACCTTTATCACTGTTCTGCATACTTCATCCAACTGAACTTATGTATCTGACTCACCAAATAGATGAACACTGTTTACATTCAGCAACTGTAATACAGGTATCTTTTTGTTGATGTAAGCATATTTGGCAAGTTGCTGTGCTTTGTAGCTGCTTGTGGCGTATGGAGCGTGTTCTGGAATAATGGTTAGCCAGTGCAGTTGGTGAGTTGTCCAGTTTTCTTGGGCTATTCTTTGACATTGGGTCATGCAGCTCGTTAACTTTGGGTATGTTTATTGTGTTGGCATCTACTTCTACACCTTCAACAAATCTACACCTAAGTGGTTCTAGGCCAGCCATCCTCGAACACAAGGGGAAACCATTATAATAGCTGCTTATGACCTCAAATTAAACTGGTTGTATTTATTATACAGTATTTAAATATTTTTGGTTTAACATGGTAGAAGTGGTGAATGGAATGCAGAACATGAGTAGCATAGCCCCAAAATGTGATAAGCACCACACCCACCCAAACACAATTTTTGTTTGAAATACATAGTTTATTCTTCCCCTATCATGTACAAGTGGTGGCTATCTCTTTAGGACACTGCAAACATGGTTGACAATCCATTGAAAAAATTATGGTGATGCTACCTTATTGACTAGAACCAATTTTCTTGCTATCTTAAAAACGGCATTTATCCCATTCTGGCGCTGGGCTTCTCTTTGTGTTTATATAATGGATCTGTAGGAATAAGTTATTCATACGACAGTACTTCTCTCATTGCTATTAATTTCTCGTTATCAGATCTAACTGGAAACCCCTCTTCCCATTTCAGCAACCAAATCCAGAGGCAGTTTTAAGAACTCCTGTGATGAAGAAAATGGTCCACCAGTACAACACTCTCAAGGGTGTGAAAGGGACTGGTAGAAAACTGGTTCACACCATGGATCAGGTCCTCAAGAAGCTCTCCCTGGCACAGATTGAGGTATTTAACCCAATCATTTATTGAAAAGATATTGCATTCTCATAATTAAGTCTTTGCTACTGTAGTGATAGTGTTATTATATGCTAACTAACCTAATTAAGACTATTGGTGTCTCATGTCGCCAAGCAGTCAGGGTCAATTAGCTGTTGTTTGTTCAGTAAGAGCACGCAAAGTTGAATACTACATCTCTACATTAAATACTATACAGTACGGTATATATGTTATAATGACTCCGTTGTAAGCTTTATAATATAATTTTGTTCTTTTAATGGTGATGTTTTCTTTCAGGTTATACCTGAGGCCAATCTGCGAGCAGACATAATGAAGCGCCATGAACGAATGTTAGAAAAGCGAATAGTAGCTAAAATGACACCAAAGGAGAGAGAAGACTATTCAAAACAAAAGGTATGATTGCTGAGTTAGTTTTTCTGCATATCTATCAATATTTCTGTCTTATTTTTCCCTCACCTCTTACTTTTGTGTGGAGTAGATCAAGGGATCCAGGAACTTGGGTCAAGGGGAGAATATTGTAGGTGAAAGGACATGGGGACAAACAGTAGAAATTATCATCATGGTTTTCTGGTTGATCTACTGACAATTGTTTTGATTCTATTGCAATTATTATATCTAGAACCCTGCAGTATAGTTTACTTTCTTAATTGATTAATTTTGTATAGGACAGTGGAAGTTATACTGTACTGTGAAATTATATAGCAACCAGGGATAACTAAAAAATGGGGAGGAGAGTGAATTCAGAATTACATTCAATTATCAACATTATTTACGGTGTCTTTCAGGCCAGGGCAGAAGCACAAAAACGACGTCAGACAAAGCAGGAACGAAATCGAAAGATGGAAGAAAAGATCCTCACCAACCTGAAACCACTTCCTCAGCCACAACTGGTCCCTACACCAGAGGTAAGAGAGAGGCCAACAAAGAGAATGAATGATGGGGTGAAGAAAGCTCTAGAAATGAGGGGATTAGACTTACAGGAAGCATCAAAACATACAGATGGTAGTAGAGCAGGATGTTCAGTATTTCATGTCATAAAAAGACTGTAAATGGAGGACAAAATGAGAATTTTTAAGTTGGGAGTAGAAGTGAGAGAAGGATGTGTGTTGCATCCATCTTTCTTCATGGAGTGGTGAGGTAAATGTGGTCAATGACTTGATCTGTATGTTTGATGAAAGGTTAAAGCATTGAGTAAATGTAACAACATATACAGTATGTATTTTGTATGTGGCAATCAAAACATACTGAAAGGCTTATATTTTGAAGTTTAGTTATAAATTATCATTGAATTATCGGCTTCATGTATAATCAGCTTAAAATTTTATAATTTGTGTGTTTTGTTAAATATTTAATGTACTGTTTAGTAATAAAGAAATTGTAGTGGAAATAATTTAAATTGGTGAGTTTTATAATTTATATTGTTCTTAAAACTACTGTACTGTACCTCATACACAGGAGATCCCCAACTCACTGTTTGGTGATGTGGCCATGGTGGTGGAGTTCATCGAGTGCTACCATGAGATTGTTAAAACAGACAAGAAGACATCTATATCTTGCAGTCAGTTGATGCAGGCTTTAGCGGCAGGTCCCAAAGGCTTAAAGTATGTAGCTGAAGTGATGTGCCTCATATTACATCTGATCATCGATGACACTCGAATAGGCTGCACGAAGGTGAGGCACCATTTAAGTTGACTTTTTCCTGTTGTTTATCTATCAAATTTTCTAGCTGCAACAGACAATTTTAACTCACTCTCAGTGAGAGAAGTTCTTCACTTCACGCACTTGTGTATTTTATGACCAATTGATGCCCAAGTAGAAAGTGTTAATAGTGGTGAATACTTAGGGTATTTCTTGTATTCTTCAGTGACTAAAGAACCAATAGGTATTTTATTATTCTTACTTTGTATTGTATAATTTTTGTCTTCCAGTTTGACACCTTTGCTGATTTGTGAGGATGAATGTATCTATAAAAAAAATTGTTGGGTGGTTGATTACTAATGAACTTTGTATTCTACACCAATTGTTAAATTTAAAATTACAGATACAGTACCTAACAAGCCACAAAGGTAAAAACAACAGATGCCTTACTAGTGACTAAAATCAAAATGCCAAGTACCTTACCTTACTAGTTGTTTATTATAATTGCAGGAACTGGGTGTAAAGATCAGTGATTTACCGGTGCATTACCAGACTGCCATTGAGGTTGCTCGTTTGTGCCTGAGGAAACACGATTCCTGCGAGTCAGCCAGCCAACACTCTGATGAAAACACTGATGAGGGGGAGGAACAAAATGAACTGGTGAGACACTGTTCCCTTTAATATGGTGTTCAGGATGTAGACCTTGAGCCTAAGCTGTACAACACTCTTAGTCTAGATGTATAAAATAAAACCTGTCCTGCCATGTACAGGGTGGTCCAATTAAAGTGAACCAGTTTTAGGTTGGCAGCACTGGGTAGGGGTTTGAGTGGGAGGAGGAACCGGGGTGACAGTTGGTGCCGTATGGCTTTAGATTCTGAAAGAGAAGGTGTACTCTCATCATTTCCACGATATCGATGACCTGAAGGCCAGAATTCACCAAGATGTTAATGCCATTTCTCCAGATGTGCTTCGTAGAGTCATGCACAACTTTTGTCAATGACTGCAGCAGTGTATTGTGAAGAGGGGTGCACATTTGGATGACATAACTTTCAAACATCAATAAATATTATTTCCAAAGGTTTTAAGAAACTTGCGAACTGCTTAAATACAGATTTTGTCCATTTCATGATTTTTTATTTTCAACATGGTTCACTTTAATTTGACCACCCTGTATAAGAAGAAAGCCATAAAACATTACAGGTAACCTGGTGCAGTGTAACTCATATTGCTGCTAGTTCTCCTCTTACATATTCTGTTCATAGCTGTCATATTCTATATTCAGAATGCAAGAAAAGAAGGCTGTGTCAATAATTATTAGGTATTTTAGCTAGCTATTTCATATTAGCCTTCTGTTGATCAACACTGTTATTAATTTTATTTAAATAATTGGTTGGATGGTTATGTAGAAAGATAAACAGTAGAATCCTGGTTATCTGGAGTCTGGGCAGCCAGCATCACTCAATCTCATAGGTGCTGGATAACTGGGGTTGTACTTTACATCTTTTAATCTTAATTACATTTATTTGCCCAATGATTTGGTGGAATGTACACTATTGCAAAATATTCTGCTTTCATTGAGTACTGTAATGATGTTTTATACCATCTTATTTATTTCAGTCTGATGGACTTATTCATAAATTGGAATCAAGTGAGTTATATGAACTACAGCCACCAGAGGTCCTTGCTGTACTGAAAGCTCTCTGTCATCAGGCCATCGCCTCGGACACATCATTGGTGAGTATACTTATTGTTATAATAGCCAAGAGTCTTACACAAACTGTGGGGTCATATTGCTATGTCTATTTGTCTCAGTTTATTTTCACCAGTGTAGCCTAATGTGTTTTGTCACATCTTGGAGTAGATTGACTAACATGAGTGCATGACCCTGAACCTAACTGAGTAGTTGTGATAGTGCAGGACAATAAAAATATGGTTACATGTCACCATGCCTTGATGTGAATGATACCCAGTAAATAGGTACAATATTCGGTTTTTCCAAATATTTTAATGTATCATTTCATTTACAAATACCACCTTTGAAGCACAAATGGATGCAAGTTTGAATACCCTGCTTATTTTGGTATTTGGAGCTTCACATCAATGGCATTATTACCACACAATAATCGACCATGTTTAAACAAGCATAATTTTTTTCCTTGAGGTGGTAGAGTTGTTATATCTTCAAATTATGAAAGAGTAGGTCACCTTCACAATTAAAATGATGTATTACATGTTGAGTTTTGAAGAAATTAAATTTTTTGGTCTCTACGTTTACATCTCTATGGAATGACCTTTTGTCTTGTAGGAACACATTGAGGACATTGAGGAGAAAGCCTATATACTCTATAAGGAACGAGCTCAAGTTAAGAAGATGAGTTTGAAGGAGGAGATGGAAAAGAAGCAAGAAAAAAAGAAGGAACGCTTGCAAAAAAAGATGGACAAAACCAACGCCCCTAAGAAGTCTCCAGGCCGTCCCAAGGGTTATAGCCCAAAGAAAAAAGGTATAAATATTTATAGTGAGCTTTACTTTTTTTATGCTTTGTATTTTGATAACTACCCCTTCCCTTTGTTTTAAACACTTCTTTTGTGTCTATTTTGATTTTGTTTATTTTATATTAAGAATCTGATAACTTGGTCAGCATGGAGGTTCTTGTGCACATAGATAAGGTTAAAATATGTATAAGTTTACTAAGCATGCATTAATTCGAAACATAAATGTGGTTTGCATTGAACTTAGCACTCTGTATTTCCTCAAATAATCAAGGGTTTTGAATGGTCATTTAGCATCTCCTGGATATTACATTAATTTTTGTGCTAAGTATATCCTTATGTTAATAATGGCTCCCAAAACTTTATCATTGGCTTCCTTATCCATGCCAGTATTGTCAACTCAAAGGGAAATGAGTAACTGCAACAATAAGTAAGAAAGTGGAGATTTAATTTCATCTTGGTGCTGGTGGATTCATCAGTTTAAGGGAGGGAAGCATTTTGCTGGTAACTGGTGCCATTTTCTGTTTGTTGTATCTGGAAGTATGGCACAGTATATAGAATCTCTTTAGAGTGGAGAATATTTTTTAGCAATTACTGGCAATGCCCTTTTCTTCCAGCTATTACCATAGATAACTTCTATAGTAAGAAAGAGGGAGAGAATTTGGATTTAGCATCAAGAGTTAAGAGGAAGCGGTTATCTCCTGAGGAAATAATTGAAGAGAAGGAGAAGACCCGAAACTTCCTCAGAGAACAGTAAGTAAACCAGTGTGAAATAGAAACATTGCAGAGAACAGGTAAACTGATGTCTGGGGTAGTTCAGGGTATTATCTTACCTTAATTAATCAGTGAACACACATGTATTCATTCCATATCTCAGGGTCACAGTAGTGTATGTCATATGTTAATGACTTGAAATATATAAGCTAATGGACATCTACACTCCCAACACATAGAAGTTCAGGATCTTTTTACATAAGTAGCATTGAAATTTACCTTGATGTACACAAAAAATTAATGAACAATCAAAGGGTTTAATTTATTGACCCTTACCTTACTCCTTGACTCCTTGACAACAGTTTCACTTCTGAAAAAGTTGTCACATATATAATTAAAGGTAAAATGTTTTGGAAAGACATGTTAATTAGTGGAATTTGTATCAACATAAATTAATAAATTTAACTATTAATGGCATTAAATTTTTATTTGCTATTTTAGGAAAATCAAAGAAGATGAAGAAAAGAGACGTGTGTATGTGGTCCAAGAGTGTGAGAAAGTTCTGATGCAGAAGGATTTACTTATTCGTCTGCAGCCCTTAGGCGTAGACCGCAATCATGACCGGTACTGGCTCTTCAACAACACCACTCCTGGGTTGTATGTGGAGAAAGGCTGGGTAGATCCAAACACCACCTACAACATACAGGTAAAATGGTCTTCTTGTTAAGTAATGGGTCTGTTCGGAAATACCCTGTAGTTTTAAAATGAAATTACTATCATGACATTTTGCTACAGAAGATCCTGTAATATTAAGCAAAATTAAAATTTCACATTGCAATTTTCATGATTTGCTCATCATTGCTTCTTATAATTTGAGTACAGTACAGTAAAGCTTCTTAAATCCAGTCCACTTATTTTAAGATTTGTAGATTTGGCTGTACTGTATGCTGATGGTCTAAGAATTGTCTGGAACAGATAAGCAATGGTCTCAATGTGGACTTAATATATCAAGTTTCTTGACTTAAGTAATTTGTGTTATGAAAGTAAGAAGAAGACCAAAAAAGAGATGGAGAGGCAATCAAGTAGTGTCAAAATAGATAATGCCCAAAATTTTCCTTTTGATCAGGTGTTTTTGCAGACAAAATATCCTGAACATTTGGCAATTTCTGGCATCTACTTCTGGGTCATGTACAGTTGCCAGCAAAAGTCCTCCCACAAACTTGCTACACAGGGCTGTGGGAGAACTTTTGGTGGCAACTGTACATGTCTGGTTTATATCTAATACTGCTGCTTTCATCACATTGTGCTAGAACCACAAATAGGAAGAAACAATCATTAATACAAAGAAAATATTGAGAAAATATGTTGAAATTACAATCCCTCTTTTAATGATCCTCGAGTACGTACCTACATGCCAGATACTACCAAGTGGTCGGAATTTTGTTCACAGCTGTACAATGCACTCAATTTGTACAGTATTTGTATGGATGAGCTTGACAACTGATATGAAGTGTAATCAGTAGGGAGATTAAGAATGCAATGTGCTTCATGTCAAAATTAAGATGTACTGTATATGTTGAATTTTTTACTTTTCAGTCTTCAAGTCCAAGCAAACAGCTAAAGAAATCCACACCAGCACGTAATGGTACTCAAGATTCTGGTTCAGATTCAGATGACAAACCTCTTGCTGCTATAAAAGAAGAACTGACTACAGGAAGCCCTACAAAGGTAAAAGAAAGGCCTTTGCTGTTTAATCTTTTCAATCTTCATATAAGAAATGTATAAGTTGAATTTAAAACATTTCAATCTTCAGTTCCAAAATGAAATGTTTCAGTTATATTTAACACTTTTCAGTTTTCAGGTCCAAAATTTATGGGTTGGATTTTATACTTTTCAGTCTTTAAGTCCACACAAACACCAAGCAACTCCAGTCTCAGGCAAGTCAGCACATAATGGTACTCAAGATTCTGGTTCAGATTCAGATGACAAACCTCTTGCTACTATAAAAGAAGAACTCACTACAGGAAGCCCTAAAAAGGTAAATATAAATCCCCTAATCATACCCCCCCCCCCCTTTTATTTTAAGTAAATTTCTGTTCTCATGGTCAAACTCTATTCAGGCTGCATTAGTTGGCATGTGGGCTCTATTTTTTTTTGGGGGGGGGGGGAAGAGTATAACATTTTAAAATTCTAAGGTGGCTTTGAATCTCAGGTCACTCATTGCTGAATCGTAGGTCTTGCATGCATGAAGACTGAAGTATGAAATCCTAAGGTGACAAGATGAAAGACCTGGTTTTCTCACCTCTTTCTGAAAATGGGACTATATTCAATACACTATATACACTCGCTTCATAAAGTATCTGCAAGGAGGGGACCGATGGCTGTCAAAAGAACATTGCGACTCCTGTTGTCTCGGTGGGGTTGTAAAAAAATGTTAAAGATGCTTTTGTAGTAAGTGTACAATTCCTCCAGTAAAAAGGGGGACAGTGGAGTTTTCATTGTACCCATTCCATTTAAAGCCATGTGGACTAGGGGTGCCCTTGCATCAAACCAATGACCCTTAGGACAGGAGGCAGGCATAATCTATTCAGTCACCATACCCTCTCCTTTAAATCCAGTTACAAATCAGTAGGGGTTGAGGTTTGAATATCATTCCATGACTAAGGGGATATGAGATTTGTGAGGCTTCTCTGATAGTTCCAATTGTTTACCTGAACTCCTCATTGGTCAAATGGGATAATTACTAGATCAGTAGTTGACAACCCTGATTCATCTAGGTGATGAGCTGTGTGCAGCAACAGCATTGTTCATGTTGTATGGATGACTTGTTCTGTCACTAAGCAAGGGTAAGATTGCCAGGGATCTTTTTGTTTTTATAGATCTAACAGGTCACTCATCCCGTCCGCCCAACGATAAAGTGGGGTTTACTACTTCAGTCTGTCATTGTGTATGGTTAAATTTTATATTTTCCCTGGAAGAGTTTTGGTGCCCTGAACAAAGACAACTATTTGTGTGTGTTTGTATGTAAATTATGACATTGATGTATCGTTAATCCTTAACCATATTGTATTTTATGATTCGTTGATATTTCACAGCAGGAAAAGATCCCTGGCAGACGTAGGCCTCCAACAGTGGATGAAAATACTCAGACATTCCCTCCAGTTGGACAGAACATGTGGTTTTATTATAAGTAAGTATGCTACATATTTTGTGCATTTTCAGTATAAAAGTCATATTTTTTATGAGTATAATAGTTGAATATTTTTTGAAGTGCAATCAATGAGAAACAAAGCACAGTGGAACAAGATTTAATGTATGGTTATTCTAACAAGTCACTGTTCTCAGGTCTATAGGAGAGGTAGATGAACTGTTGAAGTCTCTGGCAGAGAAGGGAATTCGAGAATCCAAACTGAAACTTAACCTCAGTCAAGTGAGAGCACAGCTGGAAGCCAACTTAACCACAGAGTAAGTGTTTCATGCACAATTATGTCAGTGTTGTGTGTTTGGTTTGTGTTTATATATGTATTAGATGTTTTTAACACTATTTGTGTGTCATATTCGGATACTCACAGACTTAGTATAAAACGGTGGATGTATAATGTAAATTTCTTCTTAACCAGTGAATACCTAATGTAAATGTCTTCTTATATTTGTTAGTGACGTATATTGGTACAACATATAACAAGGCCTCCTTTATATCTATTACATATAGCTTGCGTGCATGATGTTCAGAAGAATTTATGCTGTACCCCAACTGTAGTAGCCTGTGTTCCTTGTTGGCATTAATGTTTTGTTAGTCATATTTGAGTAAAGAATTTGTGTACTACCACCTAATTTGATGGTATGATTATGTTACCATACATAGATAGTTCTTTTAAAACAAGGTCACTTTTGCTTATTATGGGAGGGGGAATATGGGTCATGTTTAATTTTACATTCAGTAATGATTTTACAATAATACAACTTGCTACAGTCGGTAAATTTCATGTAGATGATCGGCTAATGACACATCACTGAAAGAAAGCACATAGTTAAACTATACACCCACGAGCAAGATTCATTATCTTCAAACTTTATTTTATCTCATTTTATCAGATGGACACCCATAGAAGACCTAGAGGACGGAGCCCAACAACTTATCGAGTCGTTGCGTGAAGATATTATTCAGATTGAACGTGAACTCAAGGAGGGTTGGCTTGGTGCAGTTCCCAATCCGGAAGAATGGGAGAAGAAAGCACTAGAGGTGAGGAATGGAGAGTGTTCAAGTGTTGTTATAGCTGGCCATCTTGCATTTGTCATCACTGAAACATCTTTAGACTTCTCAAAACACTTTGTAATGTTAGGAAGTTTGCTCAGAGTTGGTGTTTAGAATTTGAGTCAAAGTAGCAGACATTTTTCCCTTCATTCATTGTCGTTCAATCATTCTTTTGGCTGTAAAAGATGTTTTGTTAAAATACTCCCCATTCACAAGTTCCCAGATCTGGTTTACCCATTTCACACAAGCCTTCGTTGTTCTCTCTTTCTCCCATCCACACTTGAATTGTATACTAATACTCTTAACTTAGCTCTCCCTTAGCATTTTCTAAAAGTCCATTTCAATCTTTTACAGCTACCTCTGTAGTGGGTTGGACATTTAACTTGCTGAAATAAAATTTCATATAGTATATTCATATTTTAGAATTAGATATTAGCATTAAAAAATTGCATGGTGATTTAAGTATATCTCAGTTATGTTTGCAATTAATGAACTCATTTCCATGGTTTGAGTGATTACAATTGGTTGGTCATTGTATGCATTCGACTTTTGTGAATATCTTTTACCTTCTGTTTAATTTTACACCACTTAAACTTAGAAAAATATAGTTTTGCTGCTCTCAGACCTGACTGGCTCCAAGTTTCTTTTTAGAATATATAACTGGGATCATGATGATTCATAGCTATCATATACAGGCTTGTTTTTATTTCCCTGACTGAGTTGTTTTGGGGGATGTAGTTGTCATGATGTTTGACCTTAGACATAAAAGGGTTTGATGTATGATATTTTTGTGTTTTAACTGTTGTGCTCTCAGATTAAAAGGATAACTTTCTTTCCAGGCAACAACCTTGCAGGAGCTAGGGGAGTGCCTGTTAGAGGCACAAAAATATATGCACTTCAAATACCTGAAGGGTATAATGCAGCCCTCCAAAAAACTTTTGCCTTCTGAAAGCCTTGATGCACCACCTGGTAAGTTGCAGGTCCTTTAAGATAAATTTTGTAGAAAACCTCTTATTTCATTATATAATTTGGTACACAGGTATCAAAAATTCAATACTAAATGCATATTAACGTGCCAGCAGCCCACTGGGAAAAAACATGAACTTAATTGGGGGCCTTGATATGAGATACATAGTATTATAATTGAAAAGTAATCTATCACTAAGAGACAATCTGTGCAGACTGTTTGTGGTGCAGGAGGGAATTTCTTCCTCCTCTAGCTTGTCATGCAGGTGTGTAGGAGGATCAGTGATTTTAATTAGTGGAATCAAGAATAGATTATTACCAGTTATACATTGGTGTCTAGAGGGCACATAAACTAATCTGTTTTAATTATGAGAAATCTTGCTTCTACATTCAGGATGAAGATAGTCATATTATCACCTGATAAGCTGTTTTACTAGTTTTACCTCAAGACTAATATTGAATTTAGATATATTTGCTATTTTAGTTGTTTGAAGATCTATGTTTATTTTACAAAAAAAAAAAGACCTATTTGATAATGCTTTCTATTATTTGTACAGAATATGAGGAGTTCGATAGCCCTGCGGTACACCACTGGCGAGATGCTGTGGTGAATTGCCAAACATTTTCACGTATGCACATGCTAGTGGGCATGTTTGATTCCTGTATCAAGTGGGAAAAATCTATTGCAACTAAGGTTAGTCCCTCATTGATTTGTCAATTGGCATTTACAGATTGGTAGAACCATAGTTATTCGGAGTCCTGGTAAGCATCAAATTCAACTAACGGCACTAAAATGAAATAATAATCAAAATCACCTAGTGTCGTAAGTTTGAATAACACGCACAACAAGGATGAGCTGCCATATTTATTGCTATGATGAAGAATAAAATGGGTACATAGCATATCATAAAATACGATAGCACATATTTTATGTATGAAAAATACCTCCTTCCACACTCAAACCATTCTCTGGGTGACATGACACAGTTCAGCCAGGTAGTCACTCAACTGATTCACAGATGTGTGGCTGCTGCATTGTGTGTATGCTATGACATCAATTCAGGAGGGAGCGTGGCCATGCAGTTCTAGCCCACTGACTCCACACACATCTATGCTTTTCTTATTTTATAGGTTTATATTTAATTTTTTTGTTTCTGTGCCACTTTAGAGTATTGTAATGATTTTTCCACAACTTTTACAGTTTCCTAGCTAGTAGCAATATACATGGTGGCTGGACTGGTGTTTTGGCAACGCAACTATATCCCACCGCCTCCTCACATACACATCCATGCCCTTCATATTTTTTTTTTTTTTTTTTTTTTTTCTAAGCTACATCATTTATGTAGAGTGGAGGGAGTGTTAAAGAAGTCAATTATTCTGAAATACGAATTTGCAAGGTTAGCCTGTAGCACTGCATTGTAGAATTTAGTGGGGATCCTAAGAGTGAGGTTCAACTAACCAGAAAATCTCACTATCAAGCATCACTTAATCCCTGTAGGTGCCAGATAACCGGGGTTCTACCGAGTAATATTATTTTGCTCTGTAATTGGACTTTTAGAGTGGAGGAAGTAGGTGGGGATGGCAGTCATTCGCAACAGCAGAACCTGTAGTATAAATTTCTTAAGACCTACCCATGTGCATAATTACCTTAACTCAGGTAAATTAATATAATTCCCATATCAAAAGGGATACTGTATATATATACAGATTTTAATTCAATCTAATCACTTGGAATAAAATTTATCTGGAATACAGGATGTTAGAACCTGAAAAGGATATTTGGAATGATGTATCATATAATCAAGAATTTGCATGCATTACCATAGTGTAAACTGCTGCAGTTTTTATAAGAAGTTGATATCTATATGCAAAGCCTTATTAATCTGAATATTGTTACCCAGTTAATGTGACTTACTCTTCCAGAAATGCAAAGTTTGTCGGCACCAGAACACAACTATCCCCTTAGCAATATGTGAGAAATGTGAGGTTAGCTATCACTGGAATTGTTTGCGACCACAGCTAAGGGAGGAGCCACCAGAGCCTTGGTTGTGTCCAGGCTGTCAGCCAAAACGAAATAGTCGATTAGGGAGACATATGGTAAGCAAGCTTATAATTATTTAACATAGTTTGATTTTACATAATCACAATGTTATGGTAGAATATAAAACAAAATGATTGCAGATGTGAAAAAACATTTGTTTGCAAGAATTTTATTGAAATTTGTGGATTAGTAGATCATTAGAAGCTATAATACAGTTTGAACATTATCTTTCAACAGAATGATGATGGAGATTCCGGTGAGAAGGAGAAGATATGTAGAGTGTGTGAACGTGGCTTAGGCTTAATCTTCTGTTGTAAGTGTCCTGCTGCATATCATTCTGAGTGCCATGATCCACCCCTTCAGACACGGGCCAGGTCAGTATCACCTTGCAGTGGGAACTCTTTGATTTGAAACCGGTATTACAGTGCTAATCTTTGCTGTTCAGCTCTATAAAGTAACAAAGAGTTAGTAAAACAATTTAATATAAACAATGTACAATGAAAGACAAAAGCCGTGTTGTGAAATTTGGTGAAAACATATGCTGAAGGGCTAAATTTTTGGTGCGCTCTGCCTTGTGGTAGGGCTCTCATAATGTTTCACGAGTTATATTTAATCTTCGGACAAATCCGCGACACGACTTTTGTCTTTGATTGTACATGTACTAAGAAATTTTATTATTCCTTATTTGGATTTTCTCTTAGATGATAATAGTTTAACTAATTGTACTCAATTGTCAACCTTCAATCACCATTGATGTTTAGTTAAATAAACATCTTAAAGTAGTTTTTTTTTTTCTGGTTCCACTCCCCATTTGAAGTTTATAGACAAATATATCTCTAAAATTAAATGGTACACCATTTCATGAACAGCTGATCCCAAACTCATAAAATACCAACTCCCATATTATTAAACAACATCTTCCCTTGAAGAGGGTCATCGTGTTTCACACCACCCCGTTAAGTACAGTACAGTATTGCGATGTCCCTCAGGACTCATTTAGTTTAAAACTCAGGTTGAAACACGATGACCCTCTTCAAGGGAAAATGTTGTTTAATAATACGGGCGCAAGAGTCAACTGTAAATGAACTACAGTATTTAAATATGAATTAATTAAAATTACCAGTCTTCAGAATTTTTATCCACTTTGCTGGTCCATCAAGTTGAAAAGTTTGGGATTCACTTATTTAGGGTATTTCATCACACCCAAAATCAGTTAAGTTTTTGATAATATGTAGAATTGATAGTACACTGTACCAGAAGAGAACACTCATCTTAAAGGAATATGACTTAATTACATTGAATCAAAGGACAGTATGTGCATGCATCCTGTTGTTTCTGGCCACAATGCATTAAGTGAGAAAATTCTTTAAGATTTATTTTTTAAATTGATTAAATGTTGGATTTACCTTACAGGAAAGACTGGGCATGTGTGAACTGTAGTAATACAAGGAAAAAGAAGAATGCCAGAAATTATAACGCTAGAGTTCATCATGAGGAACTAAGTGAACAGGAAATGGTAAGTAGCCCAATGTAACTAGTTTTGTGTACACCAGTTTGTCATGTTTGGGATTATTGTCATAGAATCTTTGTAAAGACCATTGTGGAAAGTATTTGTATTAACAAAATTGTTTACCTGGTGGTAAAAAGTTCTAGGTATGTTAAATGATCAAGATATAACATTTGGTATATATGAGGATGAAGATCGTAATTTTAGATCTTTGTGTTGTGGTCTCATTAGAACACCAGGAATAAGATTTTTTATTTTTTATTTTAATATATATTTTTTTTTTTATCGGGGCTGGAGAGTGCCAATAGAACCTAAAGTAGGTTTGGGAAGGATTTTTAGTTTATAATATATATATATACCTGTATACAGCCAGCATATTACATTAATACAGATTGGTTTATTTAAGCTCATAATAAACTAGTTCAATTAAAATAATTTTATTTATAATATACTTTCAGTAGGTTCAGTTGTTTTTTTATTTAAAGTGTTAATATATATTGGTAATGTTCTAGATTCTAGAAGCTTTCAGAGCCACAGAGACGATTTTTGAAGGTTTCCAAGAACTGGTGTGCATATGTATAAGGCATGGATGACCTTGTGCTGTATGATTGATGTGTAAAGTAAACCTCTGGCAGTGAAGTGCACATTTTTTTTTTTTTTTTTTTTATACCTGTATATAAAATGTTGTTACTCAGGTGGTCCGGTACTTGCCGTTTACGTGTGTGTGTGTGTACTTTCCTTCCTTTTCTAAATAGGATGGGTGTGATATTATTTGTAAAGGGAGATCTTTCTTTCTTCCTAGATCCTTGAAACCAAAACCAAAGCCAAAGCTTCTATAAAACCCACTAAGAAGAAGAGTAAATCTGTTGAGAGACATAGCATTGTCAGTCACATTAGGAGTGGAGGAAGAAATCTCAGATGCACCTCTCGGAGAAAATATAAGGAATTGGAAGAAGATGACGAGGATGAAGAAGACGAAGAAGAGGAGGATGAGGAAGACGACGAAGAAGAAGAATACAACTTTGAGACCAGAAGTAGTAACAGGTACGTTGACTTGGTCCTATAACACCTGTAATTATGTAGGTTACTGTAGAGATGTTCACTTTATGATTTTCTCCACTTTTTCTGGAAGTCTTTGGTTAGGTGGTTCAGATATCTTCTTTGATATATTTCTTATACTTAGCCCTTAAACACGAACATTTTATGTTACAGGGAGTTCTGCTATAACGCGTGTTTTGATAACGCGAATTTGCTCTAACGCGATTTATGAATTCGGAACAATATTTGTATAACGCGAACGCTTGTTTGCTATAACGCGATTTTTGCTTACTATTTCTCCAATTTTGTGGTATTAACTGTGAATATGGTAAAGAAGAATATCTCCAAAAAGCGCTCTGATGATAGAATTCCCGGTGATTATCGTAAAAGAAAGGATATAACACTTGAAGAGAAGCTCAATGTTATCAACCTCAAAATCACCCTTCTCCCCCATCAAGTTACATTCATATTTTTTCAAGGTAAAGTGTTAAATTTACTGTATGATTTCATTATTAGATATGAATGTAACATTTATTTAGACTGTGCTATCCTTTGTGTTAGGCTAAATACTAAATTTTTTCGATTTCGAGTAATCTGCACCTAACCCTATTTTCTCCATAAGCCCTGTTATTTCTATTACGCGATTTTCTATAACACGATATTTTACAAGAACACAATTATCGCGTTATAGCAGAACTACCTGTACTTGCATTCTAATTTTACGCACATGGGGATGGAGTAGGGAATCCTGAGTCACTGATTGAGGGTAAGTAAGCTGTTTGAGTATATAGGGCAATCCTCTTTCTCTCTTTTATTGCCTGTATTTTTCTGATATCTATATGAGTATCCTCCATTGGTGAAGGTATATACAATACTTGGGCTTGACAATGGCTTAAAACTCTTACACAGGCGGAGTACTCGGAGAGCGACCAGCAAGAAGAATTATAGAATTGTAAGTGACGATGAAGAGGAAGACATTACTGAACAAGAGGAAGGGGACGAAGAGGAAGAGGAAGAAATTTTGGAGCAAGGAGAAGAGGAGGAAAATGTGGAGGAAGATGAAGAAACTAATGAACAAGAGGAGGATGAAGATGCTGAACAAGAGGAGGATGAAGATGTTGAACAAGAAGAAGATGAAGAAATTAATGAACATGAGGAGGATGAAGAGGAAGATAATGTAGGGCACGAGGAGGAAGAAGAGGAGGAGGAGGAAGACGAGGTGAGTTTATAATGTATACATAAAGTACACATGTGAACAGAAATAATTTTTTTATTTTTGTCAAAGAAATATAATTTGGGTTTATCTCGTGAAACACATCATTGGTCCATGGATATAATTAGGTAAATGTATAGCAGTTGGCAAACATGAGCTAGAGACTAGAAAACAATTTATTGTGTCACCAACAAATAAAGAAGTACAAGGTTAACATGCATGAATCAACGCACTTTGATTGGAGAAAACGATTTTATTTTGTCATTGTGTAATTATAAAGTTAGAACATTTATGACTTGCAGTACAAGATAAGTGACTTGTGCACACACTGTGGATTAGGATCAGGCGTGAAAGGGGCTCATATGCGACTCCTGCCATGCATGACCTGTGACATTACTTTCCATCCTGGTTGTGCAAGTGAGGTTATCAGCAGCAAGAATACAATCACGTATCAGTGTTATAAATGCTTAAGAAATGGCAGCAGTCCATCCAAGTCTCCCATGAAAAAGGCTAAGGTAGTGTGTTTTAGTTACACTGATGTTTAACTATGCTCTCTTGGTGGTGGTAGGGGTAGGTACAGGGAGTCCTCGGTATACGTCTGGGTTAGGGACCAAAGTTGTGCGATTCAAAGCTAAACGAAGTTAAGAATACATGTAAATACAGGGAACCATTAGAGCATTTATGTTACTGATGAGGTGCAAAGCATGACAATATCTCCCATAAGACATAATGTGATACGATAGGAATAGGGACTGGATTTTTAAGTAATTTAATACTTATATAATAGAAACAAGTATTTGATATTATTTAGTAATGACTCAAACAGAAAAGTAATTATAGTGCAAATACCACGATTTTTATTGCAAAAAGCACATTATTTTAAACAAGATTTAACCTTAACCTCTCGCCTTGTTTATTATGTTTCATAACATCCAAATTAATATCCAGTGTAATACTCATTTGCCTTTTCATCTCTTCACCACCTGCACTACACTTGTCACTCATTATTGAACGATTGCAAGGATAAATCCAGATGTAGTCGATACTGAATGTGAAGCTCAACCATTACCCACAGCATGATGGTACACAATAGGACAGAGAAATGTTTAGAAGGATGCTGCTACAGTCAAAGGAAAAAGTTGCATTACACTTACTGTGCCTTATGTTCTGGAACCCATGATGAAGAATTTTGAGTAAAGTTTTCCAGTCAGACTCGAACCTCTAAGTTTCGCTGTCACTTTTACCCATGTATTTCATTATAGGTTTTGGAACATAACACTAGGGGGAGTGTAACATGACTTTTTTCTTTGACTGTGCTTGGTGCTAGATGGCGGCAAAGTTTGGGAAATTCAAGTTCCGAGTTGAAAGAAAGATCAAATGATGTTAATCCAGGGAATTTTTATGTCAACAATGTACAGCATGACGACTTATAGCGGGGACCCCCTTTATTTGTATGCAGTATTTAGTGTGCGTTATGTGTATTGATCTTGAATATCCATGAAATGGTCTTATGGAAATGAACCCCAATGTTGACAGAATTGAGGTTAAAATTCCATCTCACTTTTTGAGATTGAAAAAACATGTAGCTGTCTCTCTTATATTTTCTGTAATTTCCATATTTACTAGGTCCATTAGTCTGGACACCATAGCTACTAGTTTCCCTCTTTTTCATTGTACCTCCATGCTGGATGGTCTCTTGCAGTCACTTGTCAGGTTCCTAACTTTGTCATTTCTTACAACATCTCCTCAAGTCTACCTTCTTTAATAAGGCCCCAATTCATGTTTACCCCAAGTATCTGAAGAGTTAATAGCCATATGGGGCTAGACATGTACTGTAGTTACAAATTTGGAATTGAATTAACAAATGACAAATATTGCCTGACAATCTAGGATATATAAAGTTTTAATGGTTAACCCATTGGACCCAATAAATGCAGTACAGGGGGCTCCCCCAAATTCGCGGGGGTTAGGTTCTCAAAATAGCCGCGAATCGTCAAATCTGCGAATAACATTTACGGACCCGGGGACATTTTTACTTGTGTACAAAGAAATGTACATTCCCTTTGTGTTTGCTCTTAGGACAATTTTTTTTTTTTCGTTCTTTAGTAATAAAGCATGGTCTTGAGGGTAGACTCGCCTTTTTAATAAAAAAATTTATGATTATTTGTGAGAGTATTTTCTCATTATTATTAATTTGTATGTATTTTGTGTATGTGTGTGTGTGTGTGTCTACACATATATACAATACAGGAAAAGGAAATTACTGTCTCCAGAACGAATGGGTCCCTGTCCCAGTTGTAAAAATGACAGCAACTTTAAAACTACCCACAGACATTCTTGGGTACATCCAGGGTGTCATCCACGAATAATAGAGGACCGCGAAATTAAAATCTGCGAACTTGGGGGGGGTCCCCTGTATATTACTTTAGTCCACATCTTTCAAAAAGTGTTCCACTTTGCTGAAATGCTCCCCAATTCTCCCTCTCCCGTTCAGCAGATGGCAGAGTCCGTAGCTGTTGCCATATGGTAATGTGGCGAACCACCGCCTCCCACACTGTGATGCATATATTTCTCAGATATTTACTTGTGCACATTTAAATCTGGTTATTTAATTTGTTCTGCCTATATTACCTTCAAATGTTTTTCTTATGTTGTAGTGCAAATAATAATTGAATAATTGTTTGCTTTACTTGAAATCAAAGGATATAAGAAAATAAATTTTTATGAAATATTACCTGAGTTGATTGTAAATACAGTACAGTAATTTAAATTTTATTATTTTGGCATTATATCAAAACAAATTTTGCTTATGATCCTAGAGTAATATTTATTTATTTATTTTTTATACTTTATATAATAATACTTGAAATAGTTTTGGCCAATGTGTTTATCATAAAATGAGGAATCCATAAATACTTCAATTTAATTTTTACGTAAATTTTTACTTCATAATTTTTTCCTTGTTGGTAGATTTTTATTTATTTATTTTTTTATTTTTTTTATTTATTTTATTTTATTTTATTTTATTTTTTTAAGAAATATTAAGGCCAAATATGGAAATGTGGCTTTACATTGATAAAAAGGTAGTAAAAAAAATATATACTGTACATATATTTTCATAAGTTGCTGGAGAATTGATGTACCTTGGGAGTTTAACTTAAAAATGAAATACACATCCAGAGGGTTAAGGGATCATGTCACTATTTTCTTTTGTCTATACATCAGTCCAGTATTTTGTGTCTGAAGTATACTTATGTAGTATAGGAATTCAAATAACCTTCATACTACGTGTGTGTATAAGTGACACATCAGGTACTAAATCTAGTAAAAAAAATTTCTACAGCTTTTGCCGATAAAGTTTCAAAGATCAACCAAATTCTCTTTATTGGTAACATCAATCACCATCACTGATATCTTATTTAAGTTGGTTTGGGTTGTAGCAGGTTAGGAATTTATACAGTTTGCAGTTGTTGGGGGATGACCTAAAGTCTGATGCCACAATATGATACTAAGCATCATTCAACACTTTAATATTAAAAATTAATTTTAAATGGAATGTATCTGTTGTGAAAAGATTAAGAATGCAGTCTTATTTTATCAACTTTAATTGTCATATTCTTTGTAAGAAAGAGACTACAATTTTATTTGATGCTACCAGTGGACTTTGCCTCTGTCATTGAAAAAGTGAGATGACAAGCTTTTAAAAAAATTTGGGTGGCTCACTAGTGTTATACAGGTTGTACCTCTCTAGTCCGGCATTCTGTGGTCTGGAAACTCCCATGGTCCGGAACGATTTTAGTTTGCCCAGTAGCCCACATCCCTGATGTAACTCAAATGTAATTTTAGTTACAGTACCATCACTTCACATTGGAATCAAAATTATGGTAGCATTAAAGGTAAATTAAATATATTTTAACCGTAACGTATTACTTTTTCTTATTTATTTATTTCCTATCTTATGTTTTTATGCTTTATGTGGGGTGTTTCGGGGGTGAATTTCCATGGTCCGGCACCGGTCAAGTCCCGAAGTTGCCGGACTAGAGAGGTACAACCTCTAACTGACATTCTGTACATTAAGTCGTCTTAAACTAAATTCATGTGAATACTGTACAGGCATATTTTTCGGTTCACTATCCCTGAATAGTGTTTTATTCTGTTATGGCATCAACATCTACTGTATGTAGTTATTGGGTATGTCAGTAGCTATGGCTGGTGCAGTAGTGGTAGAAACAACAGTTATAGTCGGTGATAATTTACATTAGGATGACCTCTAATTACAAATTTATGTTTATTGTTGAATAGTAATTTCCATGGGTTTAGTCTAATAGAATCTGAGATAATACTACAGTATATTGGCATTGTCTTGTAAGAAAAAAGTTATTAAATTCTGATCTTGATTATGGTCTTTGTAGGTTAATGAAGACAAGGAAAATGAAGAAGGGGATGAAAATGGACCTGAAGAAGAGGAGGAAGAGGAAGATGAAGAAAATGAAGATGGAGAACAAGAGGAAGAGGAGGAGGAGGAAAATGAAAAGGATGAGCAGGAGGAAGATGATGATGATGATGGTGAAGACAGTGAAGATGAGTAATTTTCTTGTTCTGATCAAGAGCTTTTATAAAAAATTAAACACTTTGAAATAACAAATGGGACTAAGTTGCTATTGATATCCTATGAATATGCATCTTAACATTTTACAGTTTGAGCATCTCTATTTTATCTCAGCACCACGAGGGCTATGTAGTTTGTACTTAGATGCTACTTCAGAATTCTCCTGTTCACGAAGAGTAAACTTTATGAGTCTGGATATTTAAGGATGAAGATTGATAATAATTTTGTTAGGCGCTTGCTTGATGGCTGTTAGGTGTAGTAGTGCACATTTACAGTGATCATTTGCAATAGTTCAAAATCCTAAAAACTATTACTTGCAATCTTCTTGTACTGATACAGGACTTCGTTCGTGTTAGAAGGTCAAGAGGAAATGATAAGTACTGTATATGTTTATATCAGCTGGCAAAGTTATTAGGTTATAAGAGATTTCAAGATCTAATTGTTATTTAAATATACCAGGATGGGAACAATTGACCACATCAGTTTTGTAGGAATGGGTTTGATTTCTCTAAGTGGAATAATTCATTGCTAATGCATACTTTTTGCTTAGAACATTTTGTTCAGACCAATTCTGATGATATAACATAAAGAGTGAACTATCCCAATTTAACATTCCATTGAAGGGTGAAACAAATAAAAAAAAGTCCATGAAGGCATCATTGTTAATGAATAGGGTAGCTACACTTGTAATTAACAATTGATGTCAAAATGCTCATTCATCAGTTAATCCTAGAAACACCCTCCATATCTTAAATGTGGCTCTTAAATATTGCTTCCATTCTAGAGGTAACTGCAGAATTTTGTGTTACCCCTCCTTCCCATTTGTGTGATAAACTTCGGTAGTATCAAGTGATGGGTTCAGGAAGGGTATCAGCTTGATAAACAGTTGAGCTTGGATCTGATATTTTTCTTGTGAAAAGCTTATTTATAGAATGCATCTATTTTGTGATACTGATGTATATATGTATTTCCTATTTATTCAAGTAACTCTGTGTCTTGGTGGACTGCCAGCACCACTTTGTCTAGTTTCCATAAATAAATCAGTTATGTAATTATTATTGGATACTGTGACCTGGACGCTAAAATAGATATAAGAAATAAGAACCAGCCCAAACTCGGAACTCTACGTATGTATGATAGCCCAGAAAATTTTGTTGGCTCCAGATAATAAAATCTTGATTCGTGATATACAGCACTGTATATCCAACACTGCATTAAGTGACTGGACAAGTAGCACCATGATCTGCTGCAGGTTATTATTAACATAATATAGTTTGCTTCATCTTATTTATGTCTTATTATAATTTTTATCGTTGAAAGACAAGATAAAGCAAAGTGATCAGACAGTATTTCTGACTTACACTTTTACTGAATTATAAATTAATGGCAAAGTTGATTTGAAATAAGTAGAGTATAATCCAGAAAATCAGTGAGACTAGATGAATAGTTTTACTGGTTGTTAGAGAGTAAAGGAGATCTCTCAGGCGTAATAGCTGGGCTCCGTCTGTGTCTTCTTTGATTAAACTAAGGGTTTTGAGGTCGAGGTAGATGTATCTGTTGTACGAACAGATTGACTGGTTATTTAGAAGAGGGTGTAAACTGTTGTAATATGGTAATACAGCAGATAAAACAAATTCAGGGAGACCAGATTACAGTGTATGACTTGCATTGTTACCACATTTTACCATGATATATTTGCATTTATGCTTATTTACCTTTAACCACATAAACACAGACATTCATATATGCAAGCACCCATACACACACACATAAACAGAACATGCATGCACTTAAATATCCTCTGATTTTGGAATAAACGTGAATATCATAGTGTACAATTTCCAGTGATAAAAAATGTGATTAAGCAGATGTCAGGTGTGTGATGCACATACTTAAAGCAGGGAATCATCTGGATTTTGTTTTATGTTTATGCATGCCTCCCCTGATAATACTATACAGAATAGGCATACAGTATTGATTTTGAATTAGTACTGATGTGAAATTACAGGGGTCAGAACTTATACTCATTTGCCTGCTATTTCCATGTTAAGCCTTATTCAGAAGGGTACAAATTCTTACCTTGTCTACTGGGTGAATAAAAAACTGTGTATGCTAGATACAAAATTTTCTGATAGAATTATAGAACTGGGTTGAAGCTATGTTGCACAAAAGCAAAAAATGTATGTGTCCTTTTTAGAATAATCTCGGCTGATGAAATTTAGGTCAGAATGGTAAATTTTCTGACAATTATTCTGTTAGTCACTAAAAAAGTCAATAAAGTTTCGACCCCTGATAATACATTATTTTTATTGCTAATGATCTTGATAAGGAAGTGTCAAACTCATGAAGTACAGTTCAGTATATGTTTTTAGCAATTTTGTCCCTCTGTTGACTTTGGACTATCACTTGTTCCTTGTGTTTGCAAGAAATTTTGTCTTGTGTGTAAATTTATTATGTTGGGAAATAGTACATTAGTGGTTATTATAATTTAATTCTTTAATTTGGAAGAATTTACTGGATTTAGTATTATGCCAATTATCATTTAGAACTGTGAAGCAACAAAAAGTACTCGCAGGTTGGACACCAACCAAAAGTTTTTTCATCCATCTCAAGAAGGCTGTAATATTGCCTCTGGCTACAGTGTGTTGTTCCTGGGTGGTCGGCGCTTCATATTTTTAAGTGCAAATGTAAAGTGGTAATTGTAAATTGTTTAATAATAAAAGTTATTTTTGTTATGTTACAATAGGCCACATCTTGTACTGTATTAACTTTATGTGAAACTCATAATATGCTATGAACAGCTACCTATGTCAGTTTGTAAATGCTATTAAATAGTTGCTTTGTAAAATATTCCCAAAAGAGATGATGTAATTGACCTGATTATTATTATTACTTTATATATATATATATATATATATATATATATATATATATATATATATATATATATATATATATATATATATATATATATATATATATATATATATATATATATATATATATATATATATTATACAAGTTTTACCAAATGCAATATCTGTGACTGATGTAGTCCAATTTAAATGAGAGATTCTACTGAGGACTAATTTGATCACTGAAAGAATGATGTTCCTGTTTTGCAAGATTATGCATATTAGCAACTTTGAAGTAAATGCTTGGAGATTCTGCATCAACTTCATTGAATTGTTTGTGAACTAGACTTTGAGAAGTGTTTAATATTTTATTATGATCCATGACTGCTTCTAGGAGTGCTTATGACTTTTCCTACAATATGACCCCTGGCTCCCTATTATGTATTTGTGTGGGGCACGGAGGAGCTCCAATATGTTCCATGACTGGACAGGTGTGCTCTATAATACAGTAACATATGCTAACCAGACCCCATATTGTTCTTGGGTTGTGTGGGTCAAACCTCATTCTACTTAATGTGATTAGAATTATGTTATGCACAAGATATTTTTAAATCTGTTACAGTTGTATAGAATTTTTTTTTTTTTGGGTACAGGGGTAATAGGGCAACCTCTAATGATACCTTACTTGTGTTGTAACATCCACGACTTAAAGTGTATAATATTTGGAGAACAGTATTGTAATTGTTTTGGTAAAGTATCAGCTAGGACATTGATATTTTGTTCTATCCCTTGGAACTTGGGAAATGGCATTTATTATGAATGGGATAAGTGTCAGACCCAGTAGTTAAATGTTCTCAGTTCTAATCTTTCTGAACAATTAAATAGAGCTATTTTGTAAGTCATGATAAGTAGCATGGAATACTCTGAACTTTTACCAGCTTGGAGCTTAATGTAATAAGTATATTCAGATTTTGTAATCATCAATAGCTTTTTTTTTTTTTTTTCAGCAACATGGAACTTTTGGTCCTGTATGTTTCATTAAGTACATTGTAACCTTTATTCATTATGTTAGAATATTTGATGACCTGTTTTAGCTAATGATTGTCAAAAGTTTTCTTCATCACTCATAACTGCAGAACCCAAAAAGATTTTCTTCAGCAGCACTAGCTATTTTCTTTCTTTCCAAGAGAATATGGAATATTTTTCCTCTTGCCTGATCAAGATTTTTTTTTGTGCAGAGAAAATAATATAAAGTATTTTGATTTTATTTTTTTAGTTTTACAGAAAAATTTCTTTACTTTGTTAATTGGTTGGACTCTGTTGCTCATAGCCTAACTTCGTGCATTTTGTTGATGGGGAGGGCTAAATATTGCAGTACATATGCTATAATTTTATATTAATCAGTCATACATGCATTTGACATTACTACTATGGTTGTTTCCTTTGACATTTCATTATTTTAGCAACATCACATGTGCCAGGCAGTTTAGAACTGACACAATGCTCCACTTCAGGCTACGGTCATTTTTACAAGCTTCCACGTTAGTTTTAATGGTATTTTTATTTTCATAAAATCTTAGTTTTCAGACTTTCTTATTCTTCATGTAAGCAAGGAATTGCTACTGTTACAGTTATTGGGGTAGGAAGAGGTTTGATTACTATCCCTGTTTTATTAATTTATACATAGAGTTAAAAGCAGTGTAGACCTCAAGAAGTGGCTCAGGTATTTTCAGAGGCAATTACCAAACCCTCAAAAAGTTTGTAGAGAGGGATCTTATAGAGTAAACCCACGTGAGGGATAAGACCAGAAGACTATATGTTCAAGAATAAAAATGAGGCAATGAATGTGGACCTCAACCATATATATATATATATATATATATATATATATATATATATATATATATATAAATCACTGTAGTGCGCGTGATCTGGGTATGTGCTGATAACAAAGGAAAAGAAAGAAACAGCGAGTTCCCATATATATTATATTATATTATATATATATATCTTGATAAAATCACATGGGAAAATGGAAACAACGGAGTACCTTAGCTTTCGTCTTTATTCAAGACATCTTCAGAGGCAACTGGATTACATGGACAGAGAAAGGCTTAAATATACAGGGTGACCTAAAAACATGAGGTCAGGTCATAATGATATCCACTAATCCCCACACCAACACAACCGTAGAGGAGCTTAAGAGAAGGGTGGTGACGTGACTAGACAGGTCAAAAAAAAGGGACCCACAAAATAACTGTCATACATCAAGATCAAAGGTTTTCAAAGCATTTTTAACCTTGGGCCATATATATATATATATATATATATATATATATATATATATATATATATATATATATATATATATATATATATATATTTATATATATATATATATGAAAAAAATATATATATATATATATATATATATATATATATATATATATAAATGAATATATATAAATGTATAATATATATATATATATATATATATATATATATATATATATATAATATATATATATGTATATAAATATATATATTTATATATATATACTCTTTATATATATATTTTTAATGAGTTCAAGATGTTTGGTTCACTCAGGATGGAATGAAGAAACTCACAATGTGCTCTCTCTATACATGTTGTATTGGATGTACAATGCAGCTTGGTGCTGGGAAGGCAGCATGGTTACAAGCGTGATGTAGAGAGCTGGTTGGTGAGGACGCTCAGAGAAGGACAGCTTGTGGGTCGCCATGCTCGCCAGCGGGAGAGAGGACCGCCAGGCAGGCGGAGGAGGAGCGAAGGCCGCCAGGCAGCGGCAGAGGAGGTGTTGCTGGCTGTGGCTGAAGGTAGAGAGAGAGGCAGATCACCACGAGGTCCCAAAGGGTCCTTCAAATAGTAGAAATTGGTGACAGCAGTTATTTACGGCTCGTGATCAACTGTAGCGCTAGTTGATAGACTTCACCGAGGCATACACTGGAGATTTGGTAGAATTGACTAGGTAGCGACAAACAGTGTTGTAAGGGAGAAAATCCACTACAATATATATATATATATATATATATATATATATATATATATATATATATATATATATATATAAAGAGAATTCCCATTGGTAGGGCATTCACAGTGCTGTAGAAAAGAACGTACTGTACTGTATAGACATAGGGAAGTACGGGCAGTATGATTGCTGGTATGACCAGGATAATACCTGAGAGTGCTTTGAGGGCACACTGTTATTACAAATCATGTTCATAAACTAGTTACAAACAAATCATGGCTGCACAGGTTCACTTTTGAGGATAAAAACCTCTCCCACTTTGGGAATCATAGTCTTTGGTTTATTGAAACACATTACCATACAAGGCAGGCCACCATTACCAAGTGGTGGCTTGAATGAGTTTCCTTCGCATTAAAAAAGATGGCTCATAATAGAATTCCTACAAATTAAATATTCATTACATCTCAAATCTGCATTTCCAACCGGACACACTTAAAATTAATGAGTTGAGGGTGGAATCAAATTTTATGTGATTAATGCCAGATCATGCTAATGATCAGTTGGTGAACTGGAAAATATGGAGGTGTGCATGAATGTTTTGCTGAAGTGAACCTGAAGATGGTGCTATCACAAACATACTTTTTCACCAATATCAATTGTAAACTTGCAAGAATAGGGCAACTTGCTACACAAAGTATGAGAGATTAACTCCATATTAGGGGACCACGTTTTATAAAATTGAATCATCCATGTGAAAAATGCCCTTCTGAGGGCAATGTTCCCATGATCATAGCTTCATTCATTGGTTTCCCTGTACCAGATACAGCATATAACATGCTTTACTTATGTTTACTCACCATTTTAGTTGTCATTAATGCTGCATTGGAAAGAAAATTGTCATAGTGTAGGTTTTTCTGTTTGTTTTTTCCAGAGGGAAGTACTAGGGTCATAAAACCACCTTGACTTAACTGTACAAACTTGGCCGTAGCTTCTCATGGTGTTGTGGTAGTTCTTAGATTAGACAAAATAAATTATATTAATAATTATTATGATAAGCCTCATAATGTCATGTATTCCAGGATATACCGGTACTCTGTTCATGTACAGTAGCTAAAACAACTATCTGTGCAGGCGGGGGTCGATATGCTCCAAAATTTTACGTGTTACTAGTGACAGCCCTCAACCAAAATTTATCGTCCATGGTCTCCGATTGTTTCCCACAAAGTATGCACAGATGGTTGTTTTAGCTACTGTACATGTGAATTAATAACTATCACTAAAGAGGACAGTGAGCATATTTTAAATTAGGTAATTTCTTCAATAATTTAAAAAGCCAGTAATTTATTACACTACATGGATTTTTTATAAAAAGCTCTTACTCTATAGGTTCCTCTTTACCTGGAATTTATTGGGAAACTTTGCAAATACAAGATTTACATTGTGTAAACACAGACAATGCCCCTATCTATCAACAATTCTTCATATATAATGAAGCACTGTAACTATCTATTTTTCATGTAATAAATAAATAGACAAAGTGTTGAATTTGGGATTTTCATTTCCCCTCTTATGTGTATAAATGAAGTGAGCACAGTGTAGAGTGGCTTATGGGTATTTACATGTCGCATATAGTTGGTACCTGTATACTATGTTCTTTAGGGCAACTGGGAAATGACAGATATTGGGGGCCTTGTGGAAGGGGAATAATTATTTGGAGGCCTCGGTGTGGAAGGGGAGTGATTAGTTAGCCACATGCCTACATTTTACAGGCTTCTGTTTACATGTATCTAACTATGCTTATTTAAGAGGTAAGATGTACATTCATATGTCCAATCACACATAAGTAAAGTTGGAATAAACAGTCTACTGTTTAGTGTGTACTGTACTGTAATGTGGTCTGGTAAGGTGGACATATGATTAAAAGAATCTTACTTATCTTTCAAAACTGACTGAAGTTTTCAGTACAGTAGAGTACAACCATAGAACTTTATGCAGTATTTATTTGTATATAGGGAGATGAGGAAAAATAATTAAGGATACTATTTTAAAGCATTATTGTAGCAAATATATATTTAATAGTTATTTTGCATGAATATTCTATTCTATTACACTTTTTCTCACTTTATATTAGGTAAGGTTATGTACGGCAATGTACCAATCGCTTTATATTATTATTCAATGTGTTAGACTTGTATTAACCTCTGTCAGGTACCTGTATATTGATAACTAATCCTTATATAAATATAAGCTATACTCATTCTTTCTCACAGCTATAACAAGTGATATAGCTGGTGCTCACATCTGGCAGACTGACAGAAGTGTAGATATTACATTTTCATATTAATGTACTGTATACAGGTATTAAGAAAACTATTTGTGTTTAACTGAATACCAAGTACTAATACAGTCTGTGAACAAACCCTCAAAACTCAGTAGAGAATAGACTGACAAGAAGGATCTAACAATAGTAATAACAAAAAGGGCTATTAAAATTTTCAGACGACGAGTGAAACAGGCTCTAAATCACAGTAGTTAGGTGCTAATTTACAGTACAGTATTTATGTAATTTTTTGTTTTTTGGGAGCCAATTTTGTTTGTTGTTTTTTTTTTGTACTTACATGTACTAAATTACAGTAGTCGGGTACAAATTTACTGGAGTTAACGAGGGTTTTTTGTGAACCAATTTCATTTTTTTAGGTATGATATTGGGGCTTGCTTGTCATTGGGGAACCAAACCTTATTTTTCCCCTGTGTTATGTTATTCGATATATGAATATTCACATATATGGTTTTCAAGGAACCTAACCCATTCATACAGCGAGGGATACCTGAACACACCATACAATACTTTTTTATTAATTACAAAGTAGCAATAGAAGCATAGGAAAGAAAAATACATACACAAATAAAATTAAGTACAGTAACTAAAAAACTAGTGTATGTACTGTAACATACATTGCACAGTAATTTTATTTACCATACCATAATCCTGGTCCTGATTTGCTCATCCACACTAAGTTTTCCAACTAAAAAATAACAAATGGTTGCTGCTTCGTTATCATAAGTACTTTAGGTTTTAAAGGCTTTATATGAGCCCTGTCCTTCACAATGTCTTTTGGTTGAAGTAGTGAGACTGAGTTAGCATGAGAGCGCAGCGATAGTTTTTTCCTCCTTCACGTTGCTTAATTCTTTCATTTTCTGTTCTAGATCTATTACTTTATGTTTATGAGCAGGTCCTGCACTATCATGTGAACACTTTCTAGTCATTTTGAAACATAATTAAGGGTGATTTACAAAAGAAGATTTAGAAATGATGCATAGGGGATGCACACTATAGCAATCTAACAATGTGACTGCAAAATGGCACCTTATAGAAGTTACAAGATGCTTTACTCAACCACCTTACATCTACTCTGCTGGTACCTTCCGCACTACTTGACGCTCGTATTAACGGATACTCATCTGCAACCTGAAAATGAACATGGGGGAGAGTATCCATAGTCGGATATCTGTAACCGACCCATGGAGTGTGTACTATATCCATACCATGCCTAACCTAATCTTATCTTTGTATTGGTGAATTTGCATCATTAAATGAAAAACCAAACATATTTATCTTCACGATAATGGCAGCCTGCACCACACTTTAGACACTACAGAAATTTAAAGAAAAACAGGTCTTGAAAATGGCAAATGCAGGGTATGTTATTTACAAAAACATTTGCACAGACGACATCTTGTGACTCACAAATTCTGCTCTTGAGCATGGCAGGAGTATGGTGTGACAGAATTTTGCTGATTGTACAGGTATCTCGCTAAATGAATGGGTTAGGTTCCTTGAAAACAATTTGTTAAGTTAATATTCATATATCGAATAACATAACATATGGGAAAAATAGGGTTTGGTTCCCCAATGACAAGAAAGCCCCAATATAAAAAATAAAATAAATATGTTCATAAAATAAACTCTACTTAACTATTGTAAATTTGTCCCTAACATATTTTGTGTAATTACATAACTGTTCTTGATTCATATAAAGTTGAGGGTCGTTCTAAATTGGAAAAAGAAATTGCCCTGAGGTGGGGGCAAAACCCCCCTAAAAATAAGAAATAATAAATTTTTACCTTTTAATTTCAGCTTATTTCTATAGATAGGTAGTTATACCATCTGACAAAATGCCTTACAGATGCACTTTTAATTATTCTTCTGGCTCAATTTGGGGCCGAGATATTACTCCTGAAATTTAGTTCTTATGTGACATCCTCTAAAAATTAGGGGACCGTATTTTTTTAATTACGAGTCTGATTATGTTAAAATTTCAGGTGTTGTGGATTTTTGTACAGATTGTGCCACATACACTGAGTTTCCACATACTGAGTTCCTGAAAAATCGAAAATGGTGTGGTGGGAAACTTTTTTTTTTTGCATGATTTGACCAGGAATGAGCTTCATTAACTTTCTTTTTGATCCATATAAAATGACTTCAATCATTTCACTTATACAGTACCTCATGTCGCTTTTAGCCCCTTGTAACCAACTTAGAGGTCAACAGTAATATTGTTCAGTAAAGTACTATTGCAATTACCTTACTGTATGGCAAAAATGCCTAAGAACTCTACAATTATTATCTTTACTCTTGACTTCCAGGGACGTGATCGATTAAATTATGGGTGGATGTATAATAAATTAGGCCTCCTTTAATGTTTATAAATATCATATGTGGGTTTCCATAATCATTTGTAATATATTTCTTGAATAAATCAAAACAACCAGGTGAAGTATATGGTATCAGACTACTGTACTTCCGACTGTTCGGCACAATATGATGCTAAAATTATTCCTCCACGTGTGCAGAGGCAACGTGGTGTGTCGCAGCAGCGGTTATGAGAGAGACAAAGATGGAGGAAGAAAGTTTATACTGCATTTTACGTTAAAGGAAATTGTTAGTTGTTAAAGAAACTGTCAATACATAATGTTTCCACCTCCATTCATCTTTCGACCGACCGCCTACAACAATTAAAATCTGGGCAATGAAAGCTCGTATATTTCATACTTAATTATTGTACTCTTGAACTACTATTGGTCAGCCTTACTGAATTAATAAAGCAAATTTTTCAACGCATAGCAAAAGGTATCGGCACTTCTATATCCGGGAATAAAAATGTACTTGTTATAATTCTTTTAAGATAATTTTTTTCTTAAATTTCGCTTAATTTATTGAAAACGCTTGTGGAAGAGAGAAGTATAAAGATAATTAATCCTCAAATGAATGACCATGTATACTTCCAACAATTGAAACAACCTTTTCCTCAGATCTGAATTTATTAATCACTGAGGCGTTATTGCACATAACACGGGCGGCTAAAAATAGGCCACAAACTGTGACAGCGACTAGCGAGGGCTAGACGAAAAGTAACCTTACTTTGAAAACTAAAAGAAGTCCATTTTTCCATGAACGGTTGTGGGGAGATTCCTTTACATCCGTTTTGTAAACAAGAAGAAAAATCAAAGAGGATGAAAGTAAATATAAAGAAATTAATAAAATAGTAAAATAAAATACCCATTCTATATTCAATCGAGTAATGTTTTTGTTCATCAAACAAAAAACTCAAAAGACGATGGGTGGGGAGGGGCTCAAGTGCTCTACTGCCAACATTGCCAGAGACGACCCATACCCGTGCCAGGGGCTAGGGCCCAGGTGAGAGGATCAGTCTGCCCGCCCCCACCACCTGGTGAAGGTACATGTCCCGGACTCAATGTTCACGATGAAGCCTCTCTGTGGCAGGTGTTAGCCCCGGGTTGACAATGTTGAGACATAGTGTTGACTGTTGAGGTCTCGGGGTGAAGATGATGAGGCTTTGTAACTAATGTCGAGGCCCCGTGTTCCTAGTGTTAAGCCTTGTGTTCCTAGTGTTAAGCCTTGTGTTGATAGTGCTAAGGCCTTGTGTGGATAGTGCTAAGGCCTTGTGTGGATAGTGCTAAGGCCTTGTGTGGATAGTGCTAAGGCCTTGTGTTGATAGTGCTAAGGCTTTGTGTTGATAGTGTAAGGCTTTGTGTTGATAGTGCTAAGGCCTTGTGTTGATAGTGTAAGGCCTTGTGTTGATAGTGCTAAGGCCTTGTGTTGATAGTGTTAAGGCCTTCTGTTGATAGTGCTGAGGCCTTGTGTTGACAGTGTTTAGGCCTTGTGTTGATAGTGTTAAGGCCTTGTTTTGCTTGAATGTGTTTCTGAATCTTGTTTCTCGTGCTATGGGCCCTTGTTGATACGGAGTTACTGTGCCGTTTTTGTTAAGTCCGTTCACTGATTGTGTTAGATTCCCTTGGTATTAGTTTTGTTTCCGCCCGTCTTACTCCTGGTGGCACCAGACTTCCTTGAGTCGGTAGTCAAGGTGCCAAGAATAGCCCATCAGCTTACTGGCACCTCCACAACCCGCTGACATAGCACCACGCGACTCGTTCAATCTCTTCCCTCACTTGATTCGTTCCGTTTGCTGTAGATAAGAATATTAACACAATATCTCTTGTCAACAGATGCATATATTTTCTGGTATCATTAAATACGAAGTATTTTTCAGACATTATTTTTTTTAACAAATATATTTTTAATTTGGATTTTTGTGTTAATCTGAAACAACGTCTTGAATTTTTCAATTTCTCAAGGCGAAAGATTGTAGGTTTAGCTTATGTAGGACATCTATCCCCAGACGAGTAGTATGTCAGCTGTCAGGCCATACAGTATATTTACATAGAGGTGGGGAAGGATGCAGTCGGGCGAGAATTTCGGTGTGGGCGTCTTCAGGGGTATGAGCCTGTTTATTAATGTATAGTATGTACACTTGCTTATGTACTGTATATTTATTTATGTATTTTAGGTGTAGGTGAATTGTTATGTTTTTAGGTATTTGTATACTGTGTTATATGTATCTTTGAGTATGTGTCTAGAAGTACTGTATGTTGTAAGTACTGTATCTGTGTGCATGTACTGAATGTGTGTTTCCGTATATTTACAACTTATGGCTGGGGATGCTTATCTTTTTTTGTTTTTGTTGTGTATGATACTTGAAAGCCTTTCAAGTAAGGAACGACCCCACCACCTCTCGCAATTCTCTGTTGAGGAAGCGTTTAATTGATGTTTATTAATGAGTAAAATATAGAATTTATTGTGTACAATCTTGAAACGTTATCATGCATCTTAATCTGATACAGTACAAGTTACAATCAGGTTTTGAATCCAGCTGCATCAAATAACTACCGGTACATATATGGCACGTGGGTTTATTATTAATTAGGTTGTGGTTGCTGATCTGGGTTCGACCCAATAAATTTTTGCTTTTGGGCTGAGTATGGAAGTGTGTTGATGAAATAAAAAACCTCCGTACATACTAGGTACATTATTATGATCATAGTACAAAAGCTGGTGCCAAAATAAAACCAAACGAACTACCAAAGCTTCTGAGGCTAGATTTGTTTTAGTTAGGTGTGGGTGGTTCGTGTCTGCTGTCATGAATTAGGCACGCAGGCACGTCATGAAAGACTCTTGGAAAGATATATATTGAGAGCTGGACCTGGTGCTCTTTCAGAAATAAATGTTTCGCCTAATACTTAAATTTGAGACTCCGGTAAAGGTTTGAATTGACAATATTATCAAACACATTAAAGCGAGCTTACACATTAGCCACAGTATTTCGATAGGTTTACATAAATTGGCAGTCTTGGAACATGATTTTAGTAGGTAGGCCTACAATTTCCAATTCTGGTGTCAGTCGAATTTTATAGTTATTTTTATTTTATACAACTAGTAAATAAATGAGCAGCAAGATAAAACAAGAGATAGGCAATTAATCAGATGAACGCGGCTAACTGCTATTACAAAATACAAGTTGCTTTACAGTTTCATTCTACTTCTTGCGTTATTGTACTAATATGAAGAGGAAATGACAGGTGAGGACAATGCCTATATGGACATGTTCTAAGATTACATTGATATAGTTGTGTTATAGCTGGACATAGTGGAAACACGGGACCTTAATGTAACGCATTTCCCCTTCTAGCTGTCTGCCAGTATAGAAAACTTAGAAATCCCGGCGCGACAGAGGGACGGCAGTCAGCACTTCTCACTGCCTCCTTTGTGCTCCAACTTGTTTCCAGAACACCAGCTGACGGCACTGAGGGAACCAATCACATTTCAGTATCGGTAGTCCCGCCTCCATAAGCTCTGCCCAATAAGAAGTTTTAAAAGCCGATGCACAAATCAGGAGCAACAGAATTCGTGTCAACCTTTGGTGTCTCTCTCCAGCACATCTCTTGCCATCACGGTCGGCTAACTTGCTCCAAGTCCTTTATGTGCGCTTATTCTTTTAGGTCTAGGGACGTGTCAGGCTTATTGTACTAATTGTGTGTCCTACTTGTGAACCTTCCCAGTGATTAATTTTAAATTAAGATACGACACTATTCTCCATGGCCAGTGATTCTTACCGACGTGTTAACTTGCGTTTCTCCTTCTGAGGACATCACATTGTTCCATGATGTATGGGAACACCGCTACGGCCAGGAGTTATTCGATTTTCTTTATTTTTTCCACAAATGTTCTTTTCAATATAGTAAGTATTTTAAAAGAGGCGACATTTACTTGAACTCCATAAAACCTGACTGGCTATTATATAGGAATAAGGAGGAATAACCCGCCAGGGCTACATAGCGCCTATGCGGCCGTATCATCTTACGTCCAGAAAATGCCTCAAATTTCACCTTATCATACTTGGTAAGTTCTTTCTGTTTAATATACCGGGGAAGTTAAGTAAGGTTAGGTAGGTTTGGTTGGTTAGGTCTGTTCTTCATACCCACAAATGTTAAGTAGCGTTTATTTAATAAAAATATTGTTTTTAACATATTTCCACAAACTACAACAGTGTCCACTATAATATAACAATGAAAATCCGGTTTTTATAATTGTTTTCAATCAGTTTTGCTCGTGGGTTAATCCTATATAATTACCACCTGACCTAACAAATCAAACAATCCTATCCAACCTTACCTAACTTCCCAGCCGGGCTCCTCCGCCCTAAACTTCCCGCCATTTTAAACAGGAAATACTTATTATATCTGGTACCAATGAAAACAACTTTGTTGAAGCGCCATGATGTAATTTACTTTTTTGTGAACGAGAGAGCACGTTCGGACCAAGGGGGTCGGTTGTAAACAATCAGAGGACTCGCATTGGCTTTAGATTGTGTGGAGTTGTATTTACGGTAAATAATTAATTTCTTCATGTACAAAGCACGTAGAGACATCATTTACTGTCATATGATCAGTGTTTCACCGTGTTTTATTCCGTAATTTCCCTCTTCCATTATATCCTTTTAAATTAATAAAATAAGAATGTTTGCAGAAAAATGGCTTAGGTAGGCAATGTACAAACACCAAAAACTTGAGTACCTAAGAGCAGAAATTGAAAAAGACGTTCTTGGGTTCAATGGTTTGCCGACCTTCTTGGCATGTAACTCCAACTTTCCTTGTACATAACCTAAACCCCATTTTTTTAAAGTAACCTAAAGTAACTAAAACTTAATCGATTTTGAGGCTCGTCTATCTTAACATTTCTTAACAAAGAGACACCGAATATGCACAGTAAAATTATGGGAGGAATTCCGGGTCTTGGCAAAGGTCAAGACGTAAGGTAAGCAAGGCATCGACGGAACCTGAAAAGAATGGACAACTTTCATTGAATTAGACAATTTACATTTTATGACGTTAAAAATTTTGACATTGCTATTTATCTCGTTTGTAATATTTTTTAAGCCTGTTTATCATAAACTTTAACTTATGTTGCATATGTATTTCACAGTGAAAACACAAGACGGAACATCCTGCGAGAAAGAGCTGCAACACGCTGGGAGGGGGCCACAGAATACAAACGGGTTGAAACACAACAGGAAGGGCTATAGCACACGTGAAGGGGTAGGAATACGCACTGAGCAGCAGCAACACGCATTAGGAGGGACTGAAACACACCACCACCACAATGGAGGATCCTTATCATATAGATGTGATGTACAACTGGTTTAAGTACAGTGTGGTGAGTACAGTACTGGATTGTTTGTTTTAATGATACAAAATGGTTATAGAAAGTGTATGTGTAATTTTGTGCGAATGCTTCTTACATTATATTTTGTATATCATATAACCGCAAGTGGTTGTTTGGTATACAATGTAAAGTATATCATATAACCACTTGCTGTAAAAAATAGTGTGAAAAATATTGGTCTTTATTATTATATTTCTATACATTTTTTTTTAATTTACAATTTTCACGTCAACTTACTACCTGTTCGGTCGGTCGGTAAATTTTTTTTTCTCACTTTGTTGCGCCTTTGTGACTTTAATTGTCCAGCATAAGTACAATACAGGAGGAAACCGGAGCACACGGAGAACACCTGCGATATTTGGTAGGGTCACACTGGATAACACTTTGACCTTGGAATTTGAGCCTGTTAAGAGGCTGTAGTACTGTACCTCCAACACCTCACTGAGTGAGATTTCTTAATTAAATTTATTTAACTTTTGAATGCGAATAAATTGTGCGTAAATGGATAAATTAGAATAAAAGGGAAGGCAGAGATAATGAGTTTATATAGAAGTGGAGAAACACCATTTTGTTGTCATTTATTTTATTGTGTGTTATATTCTTCTCTCTGCTTCAGGGTTCTGTAACCACACTCAGATGTGGTTCCCTCTGTGTTATTCATGAAATGTTTACATGCACTGTACAGTATATAGTACATGAATGTGATGTAATAACCATACTCAGCACATAGGTCAATTTTAAAACTTTTATTTGTTAATGACACAAATTGTGCTTAACTCTTGTTAATGACAAGTGATACTAGTAAGGACACTAAAGAATGACGTAGAAATTAACAAAGAGTGAGACTCTAATGTAGTATGGTTTTCCATCTTTAAATAAGGAAGAAATTAACCTCCAAATCTTTGAGCCAGGTGGACGGGTACTTGTGTCACATGGGAAAATTTAACCTACGAACCTTTTGAGTCAAATAGATCAGTTCTTATGATTTAAGTTAAGGGTCAGCCATAGAAGTGCAATATAATATCCATTTAGAGGGAAACATCTGACCAACGATCTCTGAGACTCGAGGTGGTGGTTTTGGGAGCAGTATCTTCTCGCGGGCATTAAGTCGTCTGATGGAAGTTAAGCCTGAATCCGCGACGACCAAAGTCACCGTTCTCCACCTCGTAATGATCCGTCTGTACGTCTAGCGTGAAAGGCTTGACTGGCTGGAGGAAACAAGTACTGCACTGTACTACTATATGCGCACTCACGTACTCACACCTGTACCAAACACCTGCATGTTACACTTATAAACAGACACCTTTAACTTGTGATTCCAGGTTTCCATACAGTTATGTATAAACAAATGTCTGGTTGTGTATAAACGGGTGTCTACAGCTGTGTAGGGGAGACTCCCTGAAAATTGTGTAGAGGGAACCACAGAAAACGGTGTAGGGAAAGCCGAGGCCACAGTATCGTCCGTGAACGCCCCTTGGGATGTAAACATAGTCCTTAGGGCAGTCCGCCCCCTCACATACGGGGAACCTGCATAGATACACGAATGGCTACAAACTACACAGAAGAGTAAGGTATGCACGTTTGCCGTCCTGTAATAACTGGGAAATGTTTTGAAAGAGCAATACCCCAGCATTTACACGATTCACCCACCTGCGGTATTGGGATCAATGGCATCGACATTACAAGTCACCGTAAAGTTGAAGTTCCCCAGGATGTTGTTCCTAGACCACACAATGCCACAGCTGCCGTTATAGACTCGTAAACACACCCTGTAGTCCTCACCTCCCAGCTGCCTGAGGTCTGTAAATAATAATAATAACAGTACTGAATTTGTGAGTTTAGGGCGGGCGGGTCGTGTTGCGTCTCTGTAACAAAGCGTGTTCGGCATCCGGGCCTTCGATGTAGAGCGGCAGAAATTGGACAGTGATTACATAAGTTCGTCAAGATCGTCTTAGTGAGGTGAAAGTGTAAATCGATGTCGGACTTTTCATGCTAGACACGATTGTATTTTTGAAAACTCAATTTCCACCGAGTTGGAGGTACAGCCAGGGTCACAGGCCTATAACCACACAATCACTGCCACATGACAAAGCTTTTATTTTATTTTATTTTTTAGGGTGTTGTGGTCACGGCTGTGATAAAGGCCAACCAGGGAGTGTAGTACTGTGCCTTCAGTTAAATCAGTTCATAGTTGTCATCAGTGAATGCAGAAGAGACTATAATAACTTAAAGTGAATACATATTGGCAATCGAGCTGGTAAGGACAACTGCCAGCCTATTCGTGTCATAGGTGCCACAGAGACTTTAAATTTTATTTTGTTTGTGTGCTTGCTCAAGGACTGAATCTGTGTTTATAATACACCACTCACAGGGAGATACAGTGTACACAGTGATAGTTCATAGTGTCATCAGTGACCGCTGAAGTTGTAAATAACTTAAAGTGAGCGCTCACTAGCAAGCAAGCTGGAAAGGCACCGTGCCAGCTGAAACCAAGTCGTGTCATAGGTGCCACAGAGACTTTAAATTTTATTTTATGTTGATTGTGTGCTTGCTCAAGGACTGAAACTGTGCCTACAATACACCATTCACAGGGAGATACAGTGTACGCAGTCGCAGACGACAACTCCATAGGCAACAGAGAGTAGCTAAGTACTTTTTTCTCTCTTTATTTTCTTTGAAATAGGTGTAGATCTATACACAGTCTGCACCCCCCCCCCCACAACAACAACAACCATGAGTTTGGTATGTGATTACTGCAGGGAGACGTCGGATATGGAGGATGCAGGCCTAACTAATGCAACGTCTAGGAAGTTACTAACTGCCGTAAAGCTTGATGGCTGTTGCTGGTATTGCCCTGGCTGCATAGTCAAGGTGAATGAAGCGATTGCAATCCATAAGGGAACGAGTTCTCTAGGGACGAAAATAGATGAAGCAGGAGCCCTGCTGGTTGACAAACTGGAGCAAGTTGAGAAAGAGATCCTTGCTAAGACTGAGGAAGTAGCTAATAGAATGGAGGTGGTTGCTAAGAGGAGCTATGCGGACGTATTAGGAGGGCCACGGGTGGGGGGGGGCGGAGAGTAATGCAGAATCAGTACAGGTTCTACAGCAGATTGGGACTCTGAAAAAGTGTGTCGAAGAAATGAAAATTAACGGACCTACTGTTAGGGGAGAGGAGGAACACCAGGAACGGCTCCAGCGCAGGAACAATGTAATAGTTTTTGGAGTCCCAGAGAGCCAGGCAGAGGGAACTGTGAGTAAGGAAACACACGACAAGGTGCTGTTTCAAAATATTTGCACAGAGGTTCTGAAGATTCCAGCAACCCCTCAGGATGTGAGGAGACTGGGACAAAAGCAGGGGGCTAAGCCTCGCCCCCTCAGGATCACATTAGGGAGTGAGGAGGAAAAATGGCAAGTTATCCGGCAGGCAAAAAACTTAGCAAGGAGCGAGGCATTTCGAGATGTATTTATTCACCCAGACCGCACGGTAATGCAGAGGGAACAGCACAAGAAGCTCCTGCTGGACTTGAAGCAGAGGAGGGAGGAGTCGAGAAGGAACGGGGACAGGTGCACATGGGTTATACTCAGGGGGAGGGTAGTGGAAACAAGTGTGCCGACACAGGGCCAGGGGGCAGCAGTGCACCCTCCACCCACTCAACCCCCCACCCGGGAGGCGGCACCAGCTCAGCCTACCGGACAGGAGGGAACGAGCGCCGTGTAAACAATGAAATTTTTAACCACACCCTGCAAAATACAGTGTACTTAGCAAATGCTGCAGCTTCTGAGAATGTGGGTGGAGCGGGTTTATTACTAAGAGCAGAGACGTTACCGAGAACAAATTCTGGCTTGAATGTCATGTACACTAATACCGACACGTTCCTGGATAAGAGGGAGGAGTTTGAAACACTACTAAGAGTACACCAACCAGATATTGTAGGAGTTGTAGAACTGTTGTACAAGAACAGGAGAATCGACCCAGAGGAATGTGAGTTCAGTATTGCTGGATATGACTCATTTACGAACCTAACTCAAGAATCCTGCAGGAGGGGTGTGGTTATCTACGCTAGGCAAGACCTTAGAGCCAGCCAGGCGAGGGTACAGGGAGAGGATGTCTTTGAAGAGTCCAAGTGGTGTAAAATTAAATTAAAGGGAGGGGACTTACTTATCGTCGGGTGTATCTACAGATCCCCGAACTGTGGCCCACTAAATCAAAGGAACTTAAGAACCTTAATAAACAATGCGGCGATGCTCAACCCCAGCCACCTCCTTATCATGGGGGACTTTAACTATGGCGACATCGACTGGAGAAACGAGTCAACCCCGAATGACTTGAATAATCCTGCTACTCTTTTTGTAGAAACTCTGAGAGATAATTTTCTGTTCCAACATGTGAGAGACCCGACACATTACAGAGGGGAACAAACACCCAAGCCACTTGACCTCATCATAACAAACGAGGAGGGTATGGTGGCCAAACTGGAACACCTTGCCCCAGTTGGCACCAGTCACCATACAGTGTTGTCATTCAGATTTAACTGTTACCTAGTTCAAGATAAGGCCAGGCCAAGGTGCAAATATTACAAGGGAAATTACAATGGGATGAGGGAAGAGATGAGGGGTATCAACTGGCCTGACTTATTAAGGCACAAGAACGCAGACACTACGCTGAATATCAT